AATATGGCGCCCAACAAATCGCTGTTAAGATGATGATCATTTTTATGTTCACAATTAGAAAGAAAGTTCGTATATGTGGTGTATGAAGTATGAAGTTATGTATGTGAAAGGTAAGGTTGCTTGCCTACTTTATACATTTTAGTGAGATAAAAAAGAATTTTTAAATTCTCTGTTTAGAGGGTATTCTTAAATATAAGGCCCAGCATATCCCTGGTCAAATATGGCGCCCAACAAATTCCATCTTAAAATATGTAATAAGGCGGATTTTTTTTCAAAATCTTGAACCCTATGAGGGGGAGTTACCAGAAGAAATGATCCGATCCCTACCATCTTTGTAACAGACCTGGTGTTGATGGAAATATTGAGATGTACCAAGTCTGAATGGAATCGGATATTAATTTTGCGTTTTATGAGCTTCTTGGATACTCAAATTTTTGACCCTTTTTGGGGGAAGTACCAGAAGGAGTGGACACATATATCCGAGACCTTGAGCTATTCAAAATATTGTGATGTGTGTAATTTGAAGACAACTAAATTTGGAATTGGGTGAAGAAATAAGGCTGGAATCCCCAAATCTGTTATTTAGAATTCTGTTGGTGTCTGACTACTAAATGACACTAAATTTTGAATTGTGTAAAGGAATAAGGCTGGAATCCCGAAATTTGTTATTTAGGTCTCTGAAGTTGTCAGCGGTTAGTATATGGAGGTAGTTCTGGAAATACATCCTATATTTGTACGAAAACTAATAAATTACACTAAATTTGGTATTGGGTGAATGAATAAGGCTGCAATCCCGAAATGTTTTATTTAGGCCTCTGCTGGTATCTGTGGTTAAGATAAGAGAGAGTTTTGGAAATGCGTCCTACATTTGTGCGAAAACTACCAAATGACACTAAAGTTTGTATTGGGTGAAGGCATAAGGCTGGAATTCCGAAATTTGTTATTTAGATCTCTGATGGTGTCTGTAGTTAAGATATGGAGGTGGTTTTGGAAATGCATCCTATATTTGTACGAAAACTAATAAATGATATTACATTTGGTATTGGGATGCTTATTTCAGATTTTATGATCGTTTTGATTATTCATAACTTTAATCCTAAGTGGGAGAGGTACCAGAAGGAATGGTCCGATTTCCACCATTTTTACGGGGTGAGATGAAGAAACTGCAATAAATTTCAGAATGCTGGCATTTCTAAGCCACTCGTCCGACAGCTGTTAAAATTATTCCAATGACAGCTCATTATATTGTTTACAAGCGTCCAAAGGCATTTTGGTGAGAATTTTCCAGAAAAAAAAGTTATTCGTGATGGAATTCAAGCGTGACAGTGTGACTTCTTTATATTTGACTGGAAAACCCACAAGTGGCTATCGTTAGAGCACTCCAGCATTTAAATGTGAATAAATCTTTTTTCTCTATGGTACCATCGCTCGTTACCGTGATACTGGTAGCTGGTAGCGTAGCCCGACGTCAAGGAAGTGGAAGTAGACGGAAGAAAACAGCAACATCATCAGAAATGGTTCGAAAAGTAAAGAAGCGACTTAATCGAAACCCGCCTCACAGTGGCCGAAAAATGGCTCGTGAGCTGAATATATCGCATTCCATTCGGCAAATATTGAAAAATGAGCTCGGGGCAAAGCCATTGAAATTCCAAAAAGTGAAAGAACTTACACCGCAGAAGAAACAACAGAAAATAGACTCAAAATAGCTAAAGAGTTGCTTCGCTTGGCCGAAAGTGGTGAACTGTCACTCTCCGCTCGCATTAATCGACTGTGGCATCAGAATAAATGCCGAATATTATCGCGAAAATATTCTGGAGGGTGTATTAAAGCCTTGGGCACGCAAACATTTTGGCCGCAGACCTCGGACATTCCAACAGGACTTAGCACCATCGCACTCAGCACGCGCCACCCAAGAATGGTGGCAAAATGAGGTTCCTCGCATCATTTCCCTTTTTCTGCCCACAAAGGCCACAAAAATCTATTTAATCTGAAGTCTTTTGGAAAGCAAGGTTGGCACTAAAAATACCAAAGTGTCGATCACCTCAAGAAAGCGCCTCGCCGGGAATGGGCCAAAATACCACAGAGCAGCATGTGACGGTTTCATTAGCCGTTTGAAGGCCATAATTCGTGCCAAAGGTGACCAATTCGAACAAATCTAAACCTATTCTAAAATTTGATGCTATTTCCGATATTTTTTTTGCTTTCATTCAATAAAATTTCGGAAAAAAATGTAAAAATTACGGCGTTTGACCATTGTTGAACAATGGTCAAATATGGCGCCCAACATATCGCTGTTGGGATGATGATCATTTTTATACCCTCAGCCATATGACTAGAGAGGGTATATAGCATTTGATTCGGCCAAAACGTCGAAATAACGATTTTAAAAACTAGGTCTCTTTGGGGCAAATCCGTTTCTCTTCATATTTCACACATCCCATTATTTCTACAAACACAAGATCTGCTGTGAAGATGAGATATATCTGCGCACTCAAAAATTTGAATATCCAATTAAGCTCATAAAATCTCAATCTCAATATTTTCAACTACACAAGGTCTGTTATAACAAGTAGAAAAACATTAAGTTCGCCCGGGCCAAACTTTTAATACCCTCCACCTTAGGGTAAAGGAAACATTAGAAGAAATGTGGCAAAAACTATTAAAATGCCGAATATCGGGAGGTACCGTTATATGGGGACTATATCAAAACGTGGACCTATACCTACAATGTTTCACCACACGAACTAGAACCCATTATGACCCACAAATACCAATTTTTAGACAAATCCGTGAAAAAATGTGGCAAAAAAAATAAAATACCGAATATCGGGAAGTACCTTTATATGGGGGTTATACCAAAACGTGGACCTATACATGCAATGTTTTGCCACATGCACAGGGACCCGTTATGACCTACAAATACCAATTTTCAGACAAATCCGTGAAAAAATGTGGCATAAATCATCAAAATAGGAGGTACCGTTATATGGGGACTATACCAGAACGTGGACCGATATATCTGATTTTCAATACCAACCATCCTAGACACAATACAAATTGCTCTACTAAATTTTGGCGCTCTACGTCAAATAATGTGGGCTGTATCGTGATTTCAACAGACAGACGGACAGACAGACATCGTTAAATCGACTTAGAATTTTATGCTGGTTATGAATATATATACTTTATTTGGTCTACGACGAATATAATAATATACCCTCCTTTCCAAGGTGGAGGGTATAAAAATCCTGTATGTGACAACATATTAAAAAATAACCCCATCTGCCTGCAGCATAAACATCAAGATGCAGCATTCCATTAAATATGGGAAAAACGACACCTAGTGGGGGAATTAGCAACCTAACATTAGCCAAGTTCCTCGCCAGCAAATTTCGATAAAAAAGGAAAGTTAGACGCTTTCTCCGACTAGAAAATATTTGTCCCGAAAAAGTTATTATGTTTTTTGTTGCGCCACGGGGTAAATCTAATCTTCCCCAGCACTTTTGTAATGAGATCCACCGAAGTCCTTTTTTTTCCAAAAATCAAAGTTGCAAATCCACACCGCCATATGTGGCGCCCAACGTGTTGGTTGATCTTTAGTCATGAAAGACATAAATTACTATTAGGAGCATAAAGTCGAGGATTTATTTCCCGTAAATTTCAAAATATACCTAAATCAAATGCTCTTTGCAGAACCGGAAAATAGTACGATAACTTTCTTTCGGAAAATGAATTAATTAAACCTAGGATTAAAATCAAGGGCTAGCATTCAATGCATTATGAAAATGACATCCACAGGTAGAAGTACCTACATAAAATTAGGCAAGATCCTCAGCATAAAATAAAGGTTAGCTAACAAATTGTGGAACTTTAGGGTCTTTTATTGAACTGCGGCCAATACACAACCTCCCCTAAAACAAACGTTTGTTATATTTATGATGAGCGCAAACAAAATCTGTTTTTTTTTTTTTTTGTTTGAAAAAATTAAAGTTTCAAAACCCGTTCTGGCAAATGTGGCGCCCAACATATTGGTTGAGAGACGATCTTCAGGCTTTAATTACAGCAGTTATAAACATAAAGGAAATGGAATGGTAAGATTTTTCCCCTACCCATTTCGATATATATGTGAGGAAAATATGAGAATATATATCAATAAGACACCCTTTTTATAGGCAGCTTTAGCACTAAGGAGCAGTATAAGGGACTTAGGAAAACGACACCTACCAGGAGAAATGACAACCTAACATTAGTCAAGACACTTAGCAGCAAATTCAAATCGGATTTTCGCAAATATAAAAGTTATAACAGTTATCCCCAAATGTGGCGCCCAACGTATGAATGGAAAGGCATTCTTCAATCATTCATAACAGCAATTTTTATCAAAAAATATGTGAAGTGGTAGGATTTTAGGTATATATATGAGGAAAATATTTTATGTGGCGCCGTATTTTGCGGAAAAAGTAGTAAGGAAAATTGGTCGGCATCATTTGCCTCAGGAAGCAACATTCAATGCATGAAAAGAAAAGCGACATCAACCTAGGAAAATTATAACCTAACATTAGCCAAGACACTCATCAACTAATAAATCTGTAAGTCATCAAAGTGTGGCGCTTTCGACACCCAAAATTTTTATCCTGAATTTTGCAGGACTTTATTGGGTCTTTTCTTGGACATTGAGCATACCCTAAACTTCCCCAGCACAAAATTTCCTCCTTTTCTCCAATGAGTTCCATCAAAGTCGAGTTTTTTTTTTACAAATATCAAAGTCACAAATACCTCCCCCTTCCCCTAACCTCTCTCTTTCCACTATAATTTTGCCACGTCATAGGAAAACATCGCACACGCAATGCCGCCTCAAAGCCTGCAATTAGAGTCAGTTAGGCATCAACATTGGACAGCTATGATTGAAGTGTGTCATTAAAACAATGAGAGCTCGTTTGCGGAACAATGCACATCAAATCCCAGCCTCAATACAGATCATCCATACGCCGAACATTCAATTGTCTATTTAACTTTCAGAACGTTAAATCGTAACGGAGCCAAAACGTAACGGAGCCAAAGTACAAAAACTCGAAAATGTGGAACTTATATAAATTGGAAGAGCAATATGCCCGCTATCCTGAAATCCAGCCGGCGGAAATTGAAAAATTAGTGCAATGGATCCATGCCCAACCGCATATGGCAAAGCTGACGGCCCAGGAGGTGATGTTATTCTTCTATGCCTGTAAATGTAGTACCGAGTACACGAAACAGGTCATTGATACTTATTTGACCTGTCGCACCCATGTTGAGGATTTTTTTGGGAATTTAGATATGGATCGGCCCGAGTTGAAGAGGGCCATGAGGACTGTGTGGGTTTGAAAAACGAAAATTTTCAGAAGTTTGGAATTTTTTCCATTGAATTTTAATTTTATTTCAGGGCCTGCTTCCCATTGCCCCAAAGGACCCCCGAAGGCTATGGCATAATTGTGGGCAAGCTAATCGACATGGATTCATCGAATTTCAATTTCGCCGATGCCATGAAGTTGTGGGTATTTTCCTCGAAGAAGAGAGGAGGGTTTCGTGGTAACAGATTTTCGGTTTTTTTCAGATATTGCCTCATCCAAGACATTTGGCTGCAGGAGGTTGGAGTTCTGCCCGGAGTTCTATTTGTCTGTGATTTCACCGGCTGCACATTGGGCCACATTGCCCGCATTGGCATACTGCAGATGAAAAAGTTACTCTTCTATTTGCAGGTAAGGGAGGAAATTTTACACCTCAGACCCGACCGGATAGGATTTTATATTAGAAAATTAACTATTCAGCCACGGCAGGATAGGATTTTTCGATAGAAAATTATTTATTTAGACCTAGCAGGATAGGATTTTCCATTCGAAAATTATCTATTCAGCCCTGGCTGAAAATATTCAACATCAGCCGAATAGGATTTTCGTCGTTTTTTTTTATCGGAAAATGTCAAAAGAGTCACATTTCTCTTATCTACCATCCAGGAAGTAATTCTCGTCCGGCTCATTGGCCTACATTTCATCAACATCCGAAAATCGTCTATTCAGTCCTGGCTGAAAATATTCAGCATCAGCTGAATAGGATTTTCCTGTTTTTTTTTTTTTTTTTTTTTTTTTTTTTGGAAAAATGTCAAAAGAGATGTGACTCTCTTCTTCTCTTATCTACCCTCCAGGAAGCAATTCCCGCCCGGCTCATTAGCCTTCACTTCATCAACATTGTACCGTTTATCGATAAACTGCTGGCGATTATGACACCCTTCATGAAAAAGGAGCTCATCGATATGTTCCACGTGCACAGTAACATTGAGAATTTCCACAAATTTGTACCGCAAGAAATCATGCCTGAGGACAATGGTGGCAGGGCTCAACATTCCAAGGATTTGAGAGGTATTTTATGCAAAATTCATGAAAATCGGACTTAAATATATAAATTTTTCTCAGAGGTCTATTATGAGAAGCTGCGCACGAATCGCCTCGATGTCATCGAATATGATCGCAGTCGTCGCATCAATGAAAGGCTACGCCCTGCGAAACCCAAAAACGGCTCGGATCTATTTGGCATAGAGGGAAATTTCAAAAAGTTGGATATTGATTAAATGGAAAATTTCGAAAATGATTCCAAAATCAAGGAATTCTATTTAATATTCAAGTATTTTTGGGGGTTGTTTTGATCTTGCCTGTAACCTATTTTTGGTGTTAGTTTTCAATTCAGAAATAAAAATTTTAAATATTTCAATACTTGTTACCAAAATTGCTTTATTTATTCACTACCGTACATTGCCATTTTGTCACAGTAGTTCACAACATGATTCACAATAGGTAATGCCAGCCATTTACTCTTGGAGATGCCCGAACCAAATTCAAAGCATACTTTCAGGCACTCGTTTTATCATCTGATCAAATATTATGGGCATTGTTTATTGGTGCTTCAATGCTTAAACTGTAAAGGTTATAAAACGAAATTTCAGAGCATAATTTTAGGCGCTCACAATTTTCTCTACTCATGTAAAAGAGTAGAGTGATAAGTGAGTGAATTTATCAAAGCCAAAGCGAAACGAGTGAAGCTAGAATCTTAAAATTTTGCACCAGCACCAGGCTTGGTGCGTAGGCGTGTGATACGGCTGGATTATTGGAAATCCGTACTAAAAGGTTATGAAAAGTACTAATAATTGAATACATTGTATTGGACAAACGGATGTGCATAGTAAAATTAAGAAGGTTAAGTAATTTCAAATATGCTTATCCATCTCTGCGCATTACATTATATATTTGTATGAAAAGTACTAAGTGGTACTAAATTGGGTATTGGGTGAAGGGAAAGGGCTGGAATCCTCAAATTCGATATTGAGATCTCTGTTGGTAACAGGAATTGAGAAATGGAAGTGGTTTTGAAAATGTCTTCTATAATTGTACGAAAAGTACTAAATGGTACTGTAGCTGGTATTGATGAAGGAATAGGCCGGGAATCCTCAAATTTGATATTGAGTCTCGGTTGATATCTGGAATTGAGATATGGAGATGGTTTTGGAAATGTGTGTTCCAATTGGACGAAAAGTACTAAATGGTACTAAATTGGGTATTAGGTGAAGGGAAAGGGCTGGAATCCTCAAATTCGATATTCAGGTTTCTGTTGGTATCAGGAATTGAGAAATGGAAGTGGTTTTGGAAATGTCTACTATAATTTTACGAAAAGTACTAAATAGTTCTAAATTTGCTATTGGCTGGAGGAATAGGGCTGGAATCCCGAAATTCGATATTGAGGACTTTGTTGGTATTAGGAATTGAGAAATGGAATTGGGTTTGGAAATGTCTACTATAATTGTGCGAAAAGTACTAAGTAGTACCAAATGTGGTTTAGGATGAATCTTGGCTTGAATCTCGAAATTTCATATGGATGTTACCGTTGGTTTCGTCTAGCTTCAGCTCGTCTATGAGTGATAGACTTCCTTTCGCCTTCGTCTGTAGAGACTCCCTGCGCCAACAGCTCGTCTATAGAGACTCCCAGCGCCATCAGCTCGTCTATAGAGACTCCCAGCGCCATCAGCTCGTCTATAGAGACTCCCTGCGCCATCAGCTCGTCTATAGAGACTCCCTGCACCATCAGCTCGTCTATAGAGACTCCCTGCGCCATCAGCTCGTCTATAGAGACTCCCTGCGCCATCAGCTCGTCTATAGAGACTCCCAGGCCCCTAGATATACAGAGACTCCCTCCTTTCCGTCTATAGGAATTTCATTCCATCTAATTACAAACCTACCCCAACCAATTAAACAGCAGCGATGTCCAGAACTATAATCTTTGCTTTAAAAATAATGTTGCTAACGTAAAACAACGATCGGAATGGCCAAGTGGGTATTGGATTACAAACTTTTACCTCAAAAACCGGTTGCCAACGCTGTTTTAGTTATACAAAAGTGGCAGGTTATTATCGTTACGATATGAAAATTGTTTAAGTCCATTATTTAGAAAATGAATTAAATTTAGTCAAATATTTTTGTGATAGTTTATTATGGGAGGATTGGTTGCCTACCTTGGAAACATTCCGACTTGGCCATGTCGGATATAATTTTGATAAATTTAAAAGAGGAAGGTTTCTTCCATTTTTTTTTTTAAATTTTTTCCTTAATTTCTTTCCATTTTTTTTTTTAAATTTTCTTTAAAAATAATTCCCAGAGAAGGGCAGCATATGACCGGTCGGACTACGCCACCTTCTGGGGAAAATTGCCATAGTTAATTTAACAAAAACCCCCATTTATGTACTATAGATTGACACTTCCCCCTCTAGTGGACAATAGGTGGCGCCCAACCAAAATGAGTCATAATAGAAATGGCACAGTATGAAAACTGGCGCTTAAGGTGTGGGTACATAAGCAGCTTGAAGTCTCCGCATGGCATATTATGTGACATATCATAAAGGGATGCCAGAATTCTGTCGTAATTTCCCTTTATAATTTGACATAAATATGCCTTGCCGTGATGCCAAGCTGCTTATGTACCCTCACCTTTGTGAATCTTAAAATAATATTGAACTCTCAATTTTCCCTCAGTACATACTTAATCCCTTTTGTCTTTATATCCGCTATCACTTGATTTGCAATTTATATTTAATTATTGTAGTAAATTACATATATTTTTTTGTTCATAAAAACTCCGACTAATTTCAAGATCATTATGAACTCAGCAGAAAATCGTACATTAGCACTGAGTAGTTCATAGAGAAAAGTAACAAAACTTAACCAGCAAAAATGTTCAATTTATTCGATTTGGAGGAGCAATATCGGCGATTGCCACACATCAAACGGGACGAGGTAAAAAAGCTGCTGGAATGGGTGTTGATGCAACCCCATCTACCGAAAATTACGGAACACGAAGCTTTGATATTTTTCTATGCCTGTGATTGTCGCATGGAGTATGCCAAGCAAGTGATCGATTTGAATTACACCTGTCGTACGCACTTTGATGAGTTTTTCGGCAATGTTGATGTCGAGTCGGCAGATATCAAACAGATTCGTAGTGTTGTGTAAGTATGTGGGGGGGAGGGGAAATTATTTTCTGAGGGGGTGGAATGGGTAGAATGGTTAATGAAATGTTGTTGTGGTTTTTTTCAGGGCTAGTGTACCGCTGCAACAAAGAACTCCCGAAGGATATTTAGTCGTCATGTCAAAACTAAAGGATACCGATCCGGCTAAATTTCATTTTGGCAACTCGGTGAAATTGTAAGTAGCCTTTAGGTTTTTTTAAGTAAGCCTGTGAATAGAGACAGTGCCACCGCCCATATACACGGGTACAGCCGTCAGGACTTCAATTGGGAGTCTTTGTATTGTCTATAGGAACAGCCTTTGGGTTGTCTATAGAGACAGCCTTTGGCTTTTCTACAGACACCGCCTTTAGGTTGTCTATGGAGAAAACCTTTGGATTGTCAATAGATACAGCCTTTGACTTGTCCATAGAGACAGCCTTTAGGTTGTCTATAGAGGCAGCCTATTTGTTGTCTATAGAGACAGGTTGTCCATAGAGGCAGCCTTTAGGTTGCAACCTTTGGTTTGTCTACAGCCTTAAGGTTGGCCATAGAGATAGTCTTAAGGTTGTCTATAGAGGCTGCCTTAAGTTTGCCTATAGATATAGGACAGATAATGCCAGTTGAGGTCCTTTACAACTTATGTGTCCTTTTTTCATAATTATCTTCCTTATATACTAAACATAACGGTACTTAGTCCTAGATTTTGTTTACTAAATCCATCCTTTCTATACCCTCAGCCATCCGGCTAGAAAGGGTATATATCATTTGATACGGCCTCATCGAATTAGCGGTTTTAGACGCTAGGTCTCTTTGGACAAAATCGGTTTTAGGACATTTGGAGTCTTTCTAGCAATGTCCGTCTGCCTGTCTCTCGGGCTGGCTGGTGGGCACGATACCTCTCGAAGGGAGTGTCCGATTTGATCCAAACTTGGTACCTCGTAATATTATTGTCAAACTTAAATCGAGTTCGGAGATGGGAAATATCTGTCCACTCCTTCACACGAACTGATCAATATTGGCCAACTGCTTCGGATCCTCCCCCATAAAGGGTCAACAGTTTGAATAATCAAAACTCAAGGCTGGGGGTTTAAGGGTGAAATAAATAAAAATTGGAAAAAAGTCAGACGCCATAATTTTTACTTTTTTTTAATTTTATTGAACGAAAGCAAAAAATGTCGGAAATAGCTTCGAATTTTAGAATAAGTTTAGATTCCTTCGAATTGGTCAACTTTGGCACGAATTATGGCCTTCAAACGACCAATGAAACCGTCGCACGCTGCCCGAATGTTGCTCTGCGCGGTATTTTGGCCCATTCCCGGCGAAGCGCTTGCTTGAGGTGATCGACATTTTTGTATTTTTTAGAGCCAACCTTGCTTTACAAAATACTCCACGCACAATAGTCCAATAGATTAGTATCCGGAGATTTTGGTGGCCATTGTGCCCTGGAAATGAAGCGAAGAACCTCATTTTGTAACCATTTTTGGGTGGCGAGTGCGATGGTGCTGAGTGCTGTTGGATTGTGGCCAAAATGTTTGCGCGCTCAAGGCTTTAATACACCCTCCAGAATATTTTCGCGACAATATTCGAGATTTATTTTAATGCCACGGTCGATTTATACGACCGGAGAGTGACCATCGGCTGTAATGGCGGCCCACACGATCACCATGGCCGGTGCTTGAGTTCTGGTGGATAACCGAAGGTGTCCATTTTCAGCTGACCTCTTTGGCAAGTAAACACGATCATTTTGTTTGTTTACAAACTGCTGGACAACAAATGTTTTCTCATAAGAGAAAACCAAATTCGGCAGTTCACCACTTTCGGCCAAGCAAAGTAAATATTTTGAACCTATTTCTTTCCTCTGCGGTGTAAGTTCTTGCACTTTTTGGAATTTCAATGGTTTCAGCCCGGGCTTATTTTTAAATATTTGCCGAATGGAATATTGCAATGTGTTCAGCTCACGAGCCATTTTCGGCCATTGCAACGCGGGTTTCGATCAAGCCACTTCTTTACTTTTCGAACCATTTCTGCTGATGTTGCTGTTTTCCTTCGTCCACTTCCTTGACGTCTGGTACGCTACCAACCACCAGTATCACGGTAAAGAGCGATGGTGCGAAACACAAAAAATTTATTCACATTTAAATGCTGGAGTGCTCTAACGCCTCTGTCAGCCACTTGTGGTGTTCCAGCCAAATATAAAGAAATCACGGTTGAATGCCATCTCGAATAACTTTTTTTCTGGAAAATTCTCACCAAAATGCTTTTGTACGCTTGTAGACAATATAATGAGCTATCACTGGAATAATTTTTATAACTGTCGGACGAGTGACTTAGAAATGACAGCAGTCTGATTTTGGTTGCAGTTTTTTCATCTTACCTGGAAATTTGTCGACAAAACCGATTGATACTATTTTACTTGTTTATTTTCATAATTATCTTCCTTATCTGCATAACGGTACTTAATCCTAGATTTTGTTTTCTTAATTTATCCTTAAAAAACAGTAAAAATAACAATCTTTAAAACTACAGATATTAATCAGCTGATCTACAAATGATCGGTTTTGAGGAAGTTCACACTAAATGATATCTTATCAATTAATTAGTATTAGGGTAGTTCACATCGTCTCAAAACACAACAAACTTTCAAAACTTAATTGCCATGCGTTGACACCTTTGAAAATATCTATTTCGGATAATATTTATTACACTATTTATGACCGACACAGAGATAGCACACTTATCACTCTTTTGATTATTGAAATGAGGGCAATTCCCGAAATCTTTAGACTCTGGGCCAGCAGGCCCCTTTACAATAACCTTCCTTCCCTCCTCCTCCATTATAGGTATGCCATCAGTCAAGATAAATGGTTTTTGGAGAACGACATTCCAAAGGGTCTAATAATTGCCATCGATATGACCGGGGCCAAATTGGGTCATATACCGCGCATAAATTTGCTGCATCTGAAAAAGGCATCATATTTTCTTCAAGTAAGTCAAAAAAATATACATTTTTAAATTTTCCTATATTTAAATATCCATATTTCACTCTCCAGGAAGCCATACCCACCCGTCTCGTTGGCCTACATTTCCTCAATGCCACATCTCTAATGGATCGATTTTTAGCCGTAATACAACCGTTCCTCAAGAAGGAACTACTCGATATGTTACACGTACACACCACCATGGATACGTTCTATAAATTTGTGCCACGTGAAATTGTACCCAAAGATTTCGGGGGACCTGGTTTGGAAATGAAAGAATTGGAGGGTAATTTTCAACTTCCAGATTTTTTTTATAACTTCAAATTAATTTTTTTGAAATATATTTGTTTTTCGTTACAGAAAACTTCTTCCAATCTTTGCGAGAATCCCGTTTTGACATCATCGAATACAGTGCCACCCATCGTGTCAACGAGAAGTTACGTCCAGGCAAGGCAAAACTTAACTCAGATCTCTTTGGAACCGAGGGTAATTTTAAGAAATTGGATATTGACTAGGGTGTAGAGGATTAAAGTGGTAGAATAGATTAATTTTAGTGCTTTTATAATTTTTTACTCAAATAAAGTTTAAGTGGAATGGAAAATTAAAATGCGAGGAAATATTTCAGAACCTCTTAGGCTGGAAATACATAAAGGGCATATTTGGCTGGCTTCTTCGTAGATGAACAAAGAAGTTTTAGGTTGACCTAGTTCGATTTTGGCCCTAGTCTCCTTTGTTCATTTCCGAAGAAGCCAGCCGATGACTTAAACCAGCCAAATAAGCGCTTTATGTATTCCCAGCTTTACAATGAAAAATTATAATCTGGACAGACATTTAGGTCTTATGAGTAAAAGGTCTGAGCCTTTTGGTCGGACGACATTTGGGATTTCATTGGATTAGTAGAGTTGGGCAATGAGGTTCACTGAGCCGAAAAATCTTTATCGTTGCTTTCCGGAAAAGAAACTTGTTGTTTGTCTAGTTCCTTTTAGTGCAGTCGTTCCTTTAAGCTTATTTATATGAGAAACGCTGCAGCAGCATCACTGCACCTTTAACTGAACATACCCCACATAAACACTCCTTCTTGTTATTCTTCCCCCTTTGTTGCTCTCTTTCTCTTGTTATGTCAATTATAGAAAAACCTACATAATGTCACCATAGACAAATGAAGATATAGACAACGAAAAGTTAGTTTTGTCTTTTTTTCCAGATGGCTCTCATCATGTTTTGCATAGTCAACATGCTGATTTACGCGTTCAAGCCACTCGACTTCAAAAACACATTTTATCGTTTTTCAAGAATTTCACAGGAATATTCCCATATTTTTCGATGTCATCACGTACTTTTCACATTTCTTTTATTATGAAATAATATTCAGCTGACAAATATCCTACAGTTTTTGTTATTTTTAACATTTTTGAATTGAGTGACTTCAAAATTCCCACTCAAACCCCTGAAACGATATAGACGACATCTGCTGATCCGATTTTTTTCGAAGATGAACGGTGAGAGCATTTCGTTGTCTATATTTTCATTTGTCTATGATAAGTATGAATAGAGAGAGGATAACAACAGAGAATAAAAACATAGAGAGAGAGAGAGAGTCGTAAACTTTAAGAGAAATACAATTTGAGATTGAAAACCAGTATTGTAATTAGAAGAAGCATTAGTGCAAGAGACAATGTACTGTTGGCTTTAAAGAACTTAATTGTACATTTGTCAGTCCATTTTCGCAACCAATAAGAAATATTCATTTGAACTGTAACAAATGCATTATTACATCAATACATTTAAATTGATATTTTATTTGGAGCAAATACCTGAGCAAGTGGAGCAATAGATAAAAAAAGATAATTGAGTGGATTATTACTCGAGGAGAAGTTGCGAATAATTATTGGAGCTAGATTATGCTGTTGATGTAAAATATTGCCCGTGTCATTTATATGTTGGAGAATATTGCTCGTGGAGCAAGGATAACAAACCATTGGAAAAATACCAATTACCCTAAATTAGAGAAATGCAGTGTTCGTTGGTGCATCATGGCTAAGGTGTTTCAGTTGCTTATAAACAACAGAGAATGAAGTCTGTTATATCCAGAGACACAAGTTAAAATTGTTGCAAAGGGAATTCGTTGATGACAGATTCAGCCATATGGCTACAGAGGGTATATACAATTTGATACGGTCAATAAGTACCTAGTCGACATAACGGTTTTCGACCCTAGGTCTCTTTGGACCAAATCCGTTTCAGGACATTTAGAGTCGATCTAGCGATGTCCGTCCGTCTGGCTGGTGCGCACGATAACTCTCGAAGGGAGTATGCGATTTGGTCCAAACTTTTTACATCGTAATATTTTTGTCAAACTTAGATCGAGTTCGGAGATGGGCAATATTGGTCTACTCCTCCCCTACAAAAGGTCGAAATTTTCAAAAATATATTTTCTGCACAGAAGGAGAAAACATAATCCGATTATGCTCAAACTTTGCAAATCCAAATATTTGCGTCAGTGCTAGGTCAGGTGCAAAAATGGACAATATCGAACCACTCTATCAAGTACCTCCCCACAAGGGTCACAAATTTTGAATAACTACAACTCTTATAAAATGTGATGTAAGAGCCTGATTGTCTTCAAATTTCACACATCTCAATAATTGTGTTAACTCAAGGTCTGGTGTTAAGATGGAATATATCGGACCATTCCTTCTGGTACCTCCCCCACAAAAGGTCGACATTTTTAAAAAATATATTCTCTGCACAGAAAGAGAAAGCATAATCCGATTTTGTTCTAACTTTGCAAATCCAAATATCTTTGTCAGTGCTAGGCCAGGTGCGAAAATGGACAATATCAATCCACTCTATCAAGTACCTCCCCAAGTACAAGGGTTACAAATTTTGAATAATTACTCTTATAAAAAGTAATGTTAGAGTCCGATTGTCTTCAAATTTCATACATTCCATTATCTCTACTAACACAAGATCTGTTGTGAAGATGGAATATATCGGTCCTCTCCTTCTGGTACCTCCCCCACAAAGGGGTCAAAATTTTCAATACCCATGAAGCTCATAAAACGCGAAATTAACATCCGATTCCACTCAGACTTGGCACATCTCAAAATTTCCATCAACACAAGATCTGTTATAAAGATGGTAGAGATTGGACATTTCCTTCTGGAACCTCCCCTACATAGGGTTAAGATTTTGAGAAACCAAACGCTCAAAGAAAGCGAAATAAGCATCCAACTCTCTTCAAATTTCACACATACAAATATTTTTACTAACACAAGATCTGTTGTGAAGATGATATATATCTGCGAACCCCTTCTGGTACCTCACCCACATATAATTTTATTGAATGAAAGCAAAAAATGTCGGAAGTAGCATCAAATTTTAGATTAAGTTTAGCTTTGTTCGAATTGGTCACCTTTGGCACGAATTATGGCCTACAAACGGCCAATGAAACCGTCACACGCTGCCCCAATGTTGCTCTGCGGTATTTTGGCCCATTCCCGGCGACGCGCTTGCTTGAGATGATCGACACTTTGCTATTTGTTATTGCCGAACATGCTTTCCAAAACACTCCAGATACAATAATCCAACGGATTGGAATCCGGAGATTTTGGTGGCCATTGTGCGCTGGAAATGAAGAGAGGAACCTCATTTTGTAACCATTCTTGGGTGGCGCATGCTGAGTGCGATGGAGCTGAGTCCTGTTGGAATGTCCAAGGTCTGCGGCAAAAATGTTTGCGTGCCCAAGGCTTTATTACACCCTCCAGAATATTTTCACGATAATATTCGGCATTTATTCTGATGCCACGGTCGATTTATACGAGCGGAGAGCGACTGTTATGGCGCACCACACCATCACCGTAGCAGGCACTTTTTGTTGTTTGTTTACAAACTGCTGGACAACGAGTATCTTCTCATCGGAGAAAACAAAATTCGATAGTTCATCACATTCGGCCAAGCGAAGCAACTGTTTAGCTCTTTTGAGTCTTTTTTCTTTCTGTTGCGGTGTAAGTTCTTGCACATTTTGGAATTTCAATGGCTCATTTCCCGAGCTCATTTTTCAATATTTGCCGAATGGAATATTGCGATGTGTTCAGCTCGCGAGCCATTTTTCGGCCACTGCGACCCGGGTTCCTTTCAAGCCGCTTCTTCACTTTTCGCACCATTTCTGCTGATGTTGCTGTTTTCTTCCGTCCACTTTCCTGACGTCGGGCTACGCTACCAGTAACGAGTAACGAGCGATGGTACGAGACACAAAAGATTTATTCACATTTAAGTGCTGAAGTGCTCTAACGATAGCCACTTGTGGTTTTCCAGCCAAATGTAAAGATCTCACACTATCACGCTTGAATTCCATCACGAATAACTTTTTTGCTGGAAAATTCTCACCAAAAAGCTTGTAAACAATATCATGAGCTGTCACTGGAATAATTTTAACAGCTGCCGGACGAGTGGCTTAAAAATAACAGCAGTCTAAAGTTGCTTGCAGTTTTTTCATCTCACCCTGTAAATTGTTAATCTATTGCCTGTATTTCTTTCACTATTTAATATTTCTTACTTTGGCAAAATATATTGTTTGTTTGGCCGTTGCTCTATCTCAAAATGTTTATATTTATAAACCCATCGATTGGAATGACCCCCCGCATTGGACTATTATTATTATTATTTTTTTTTTTTACCGAACAAGACTATCGATAGCCATATCTCCCCCGGTCTCCAGAAGTTTACGGAGCTAAGTGATTTTATGGAGATACAATAATGGCTGGCCAAAAAAAAAATGCTTATCAAAATTTATTAATATCAACAATAAAGTTTAGATTAGACTCCAACGAACCCCTAGCGCCAGATATGAATGTCAAACATGACGTTTGATTTGTAATTTTCCCAAACAAAAAACTAGGGGGAAAATTTGTGCACTTTGGACTCGAGAATTGTGGGAGGAAAATGGGAAAGAGGAGTTGATATTTTTTGGAGGGGGCGAAAAGGTGAGAATACGGAAAAGATTGTTTTTCCTGGTATAACACATTGGCTGGTTTTTTGGTAGAAAGGGCCTTAAGGTGAGTGTTTATGTGAAAAACGCTACAGCAGCATAAATGTACCTTTAACTGAACATACCCCACATACAAACACTGTCATAGACAAATGAAAATATAGACAACGAAATGCTCTCACCGTTCATCTTCGAAAAAAATCGGATCAGCAGATGTCGTCTATATCGTTTTAGGGGTTTGAGTGGGAATATTGAAGTCACTCAATTCTAAAACGTTAAAAATAACAAAAACTGTAGGATATTTGTCAGCTGAATATTATTTCATAATAAAAGAAATGTGAAAAGTACGTAATGACATCGAAAAATATGGTAATATTCCAGTGAAATTCTTAAAAAACGATAAAATGTGTTTTCGAAGTCGAGTGGCTTGAACGCGTAAATGAATATGTTGACTATGCAAAACATGATGAGAGCCACCTGGAAAAAAAGACCAAACTAACTTTTCGTTGTCTATATTTTCTTTTGTCTATGACACTGTTCCCTGTTATTTTTTCCCCTTTGTTTTTTTCTCTCTCTCTCTCTCACTCTTGTTATGCTAATTGTAGAAAAATCAGTATTGGTTGGCAATACCGTTGTCACTAGCATAAATATGAATAGAGCCAAGAACAGCAACAATCACACAACACAGAGAGAGAGTGGTGAATTTTAAGAGAAACAGAATTTGAGATTAAAAACCAGTGTTATAATTAGAAGAAGCATCAGTGCAAGAAAAAAGGGTACTTGTTGGTACAGAAGAATTTAATTGTAAATTTGTCATTCCATTTCCGCAACCAAGTAGAAATGTTCGTTGGAAGTTTAATAATTTTTTAGAGTTAAAAAGGAAACAAAATCCTTTCCGAATTAAATATATATAAGCAAGAGAATACGGGTGAGATGAAAAAACTAAAAAACTGCAAACAACTTCAGACTGCTGTCCGTTCTAAGCCACTCGTCCGACAACGGTTAAAATTATTCCAGTGGCAGCTCATTATATTGTTTACAAGCGTACAAAAGCATTCTGGTGAGAATTTTCCAGAAAAAAAGTTATTCGTGATGGAATTCAAGCGTGATTTCTTTATGTTTGGCTGGAAAACCACAAGTGGCTGACAGTGGCGTTAGAGCACTCCAGCATTTAAATGTGAATAAATCTTTTGTGTCTCATACTATCGCGCATTACTGTGATACTGGTAGCGTAGCCCGACGTCAATGAAGTGGTTTGAAGAAAACAACAACATCAGCAGAAATGGTTCGAAAAGTGAAGAAGCGACTAGATTGAAACCCGCGTCGCAGTGGCTGAAAAATGGCTCGTGAGCTGAACATATCGCAATATTCCATTCGCCAAATGTTGAAAAATGAGCTCGGGGTAATGCCATTGAAATTGTAAAAAGTGCAAGAACTTACACCGCAACAAAAACAGAATGAAAATATACTCAAAAGAGCTTCGCTTGGCCGAAAGTTGTGAACTGCCGAATTTGGTTTTCTCCGATAAGGAAACATTCGTTGTCCAGCAGTTTGTAAACAAACAAAATGATCATGTTTACTTGCAAAGAGGTCAGCTGAAAATGTGCACCTTCGGTTTGCCACCAGAACTTAAGCGCCAGCCATGGTGTGGTGATGGTGTGGGCCGCCATAACAGCCAATGGTCGCTCTCCGTTAGTGTTAATCGACCGTGGCATCAGATAAACATGCCGAATATTATCGTGAAAATATTCTGGAGGGTGTAATAAAACCTTGGACACGCAAACATTTTGGCCGCAGACCTTGGATATTCCAACAGGACTCAGCGCCATCGCACTCAGCACGCGCCAGCGCACAATGGCCACCAAAATCTCCGGATAGCAATCCTTTGTACTATTGTGTCTGGAGTATTTTGGAAAGCAAGGTTGTCACTAAAAAATGCCGAAGTATCGATCTCCCCAAGCAAGCACTTCACCGGGAATGGGCGAAGATACCGCAGAGCAACGTGCGGGAAGCGTGTGACGGTTTCATTGGCCGTTTGAAGGCCATAATTCGTGCCAAAGGAGACCAAATGCCGAAGTGTCGATCACCTTAAGCAAGCGCTTCGCCGGGAATGGGTCCAAATACCGCAGAGCAACATTGGGACAGCATGTGACGGTTTTATTGACCGTTTGAAGATCGTAATTCGTGGCAAAGATGACCATTTCGAATAAATCTAAACTTATTCTAAAATTTGATGATATTTCCGACATTTTAAAAAAAATGTAAAAATGATGGCGCTTGACTTTGTTGCAGTTTCTTATCTCATCCTGTATACCCTCTCTAGCCATATGGCTGAGGGGATAAAAATCGAAAATAGTTTCCAGATGAGTTAAAAGATCCGCAAAAAGAAAACTGAAGTGTAGGGTCTGCAGCCATAAAGGTGAGAATACACAAGACCCTTTTTTGACTGACAGCCGATGACTTAGGCTAGCTTCTTTGTAACAGAACAAAGGAGCATAGGGTAAGAAAGTATCAATTATGGACTGAAATTGAACGAAGTCAACCTAAAACTCCTTTGTTTTTCTACTAAGAAGCCAGCCGATGACTTAAGCCAGTCAGAAAAGCGTTTTATGTAGTCTCACCTTATCTTTTAAAACATTTATTTTTATACCCCTCACCATACTATTTCGTAAATGGGCCATGTCGGTCCACGTCTTCATATATCCCCCATATAACAGTACCTCCCGATATTCGGTATTTTCATGATTTTTGCGGCATTATTTGCCGGAATTGTTTCAAATTTCGTATTTGAAATTCGTAATGGCTACTACAGCCTATGACAAAAAATTTCGTATGCAGGTCCACGTCTTAGTTTAATTTTCGTAGTCCAATTTTTACCTCTCAAAACAATTCCAATTTGACTTTATCTCCAAATCTGGGACTTCAATCCAGATTTTCTACCCCTCTCCCAAATTATAACATTCCTAGAACCCTTAGCTGTAATTCCATAGTTAAACTTATGTCCATAGACCTACCCTAGGGTGCAAAAAGCGCATATTCATATCTAAACAATTCCGATTTGAACTTATCTCCAACATCTATCAATTGTCAAAAAAAAGAAAAAAACGAAAGTATTTCAATATCAAAACATGTACTCGTACATAAGAATAATAATAGTATTTTGATAAGCCTGGGAGCGCTGGCAAATGTTTGTGAACTTGAAAAGGTGTAGTTGTAGTGCAGCGATCAACAAGCCATTCAGTGCAACTTTATCCCTCTAAGTATTCGTATCGAAATTCAAAAGCACAATCGTACAACAATGTCTTTCAAACTCTTCAACTTGGACGAACAGTACGCCAAACATCCCGAAGTGAAACGCGATGAAGTCCTTAAACTACTAGATTGGTCATTGGCCCAACCCCATCTGCCGAAAATTACCGAACATGAGGCATTGCTTTTCTACTTTGCCTGCAATTGCAGCATGGAATATGCCAAGTCTGTTTTGGATTTGAATTTCACCTGTCGCACACATTTCGAGGAGTTTTTCGGCAATGTTGATATCGCCACACCCGAAATGCAACTTGTCCGGCAGACAGTGTAAGTTTGGAAATCGAAGAAATGGGTATTCGAGGTTGATTAAAAATTAAAAAATTGTGATTTTAGTGCCGGTTTCCCCCTGCAACAACAAACTCCGGAGGGATATATTGTCGTCATGGTCAATATTATGGATCCAGATGCATCGAAGTTTAATTTTGTCAATTCCATTAAATTGTAAGTATTGCTCAGGTCTCAGAGGAGATTTTTTGGGTTTCTATCATTTTTATATTTACTGTTATTTGTTATGTTCCAGAACTGCAAGAATTTAATTTTTTTTACTGCGATAACCGATTTTTTTATGATATCGGAGACAAATTGTAAATCTAGTAGGACCATACAGGTTCTGGAATAGTTTAAAAAAAAAAATGAAATATATGTTAGTTCGTTAAGTCGTAAGGGATATAGGATGTAAATTGCGTGGTAAGTGTAAGTGGGAAGCGGGACCCTAAAAAATTGGAAATTTTGTACTTAAAGGGTTTAGGTTCGGCGGGCTAGGTTTGGGTGTGACTTGTACCAAGCACCCTTGTCACCGGTGTATGTAGTGTTTGTATTTGGGTTAGTTTTGGCCCCTTGGATTTTTGGTGTCAGGGTTGATACATGTGATCTGATATTATGATTCCACCTTATGTGGCACTGCGGTGGGTATCCAGATAACTTTGGAATCTCATGATGGATACTCCTTTGCGGGAGAAGGCAGCTTCTTTCATGAATTGCCAGTTTTTTTTTTTAATTTTATTAAATGATAGCAGAAAGTATCGGAAATAGCATCAAAGTTTAGATTTGTTCGAATTGGTCACCTTTGGCACGAATTATGGCCTTCAAACGGCCAATGAATCGGTCACAACGCTGCCCGAATGTTGCTCTGAGATATTTTGGAGCATTTCCGGCGAAATCGCTTGCTTGAGGTGATCGAAACTTTGGTATTTTTTAGTGCCAACCTTGCTTTCCAAAATACTCCAGACGCAATAGTATAACGGATTGGTATCCGGAGAATTTGGTGGCGATTGTGGTGCGCTGGAAATGAAGCGAGGAACCTCATTTTGTAACCATTCTTGGGTGGCGCGTGCTAAGTGCGATGGTGCTAAGTCCTGTTGGAATGTCCAAGGTCTGCGACCAAAATGTTTGCGTGTCCAAGGCTTTAATACACCCTCCAGAATATTTTCGCGATAATATTCGGCATTTATTCTGATGTCACGGTCGATTAATACGAGCTGAGAGCGACCATCGGCTGTTATGGCGGCCCACACCATCACCATGGTCTTTTACCATGAGAGAGGCATGGATTTATGTGCCTGCAGGATGGTTGACAAAGGTCAGCATGTCAGTGGCGGAATGCAGTTACTGTGATGACATCAGGTATTTCGTGTTAAGGGACTGGATGTGATGGCAATTTCAAGCATTGGGCGCCAGTTCTAATGAGTTGAACTCATTTAGTTTTGGAGGGATTTTTCTTCCCCTGACTATTTGTAAATAAGATATTTGGTTCATATAAGAGATTTTTATTGATTGATGGAAATTTTATCAAATGGCCCTCGATGAATGAGGGTGGTCGAGTCATCTGATCTGGCGGCGCCCAATGTTTGGAATTCTCTTGTAAAATTGTATCGCGAACTAAAGTCTTATTTCCGAGCTTTAAGACGAACTAGAAACTAATTGCCGAACTTTAAGCTCGTGTTATAATTTTACAAGACAGTGCCAAGCATTGGGCGTCAGATCAGATGACTCAACCACTCTCAAATTTCAAGAAATTACCAGCCTATATGTTCTCATATAAGAAAAAAGCGACTCTTTAATGGGGAATATTTTGGGAACGTATTATAAGTGCCAGCGGAGCAATCATCGTGGATTTTTTTTAAATATTTTTATATTTTTCCAAGGGCACAAATTAGAGATTTTTCAGGGTTTTTCGAAGAAATTATGCTGAAGCATTTAAAGAACTTTAAAAGGCCTTCGAGGGAATAATGTATATTTAAAATTTTTTCTCGGGCTTTAGGTAAGGATTTTTCAAAGAATAATTTTTCCAAGGTCCTAGGGGTAAAAATTTAAGTTTTATTAATAAAGTTTTCAAGGGCTATCAGAGCAATATTTGGGGATATTTTTAAGAATTATTTTCGTGGGCCCTCGGAGCAATAATTGGAAATTTGTAATGAATTTTTTCGATTTTCTGGGTAATAATTGGGGATTTTTAATGAATAATATTTTAAGGGTCCTTAGAGCAAATCTTTTTGAAAGGTTCTAGGAGCAATATTTAGCGATTTCGCGATTCCTCGATAAATGAGGTCTCATTGGAGATTTTTTAAAGAAGGAGGACTTTTTAAAGAATATTTTTTCAAAAAACCTCGAAGCAATCATCGCTGATTTTTTTTAAGAATAATTTTATGGGCCCTCTTATCGAGAACCGCGGACTTTTTTTGGATTATTGCTTCAAGAGGTCTCAAAGCAATAATCCAGGATATTTTGAAGAATATTGTTAATGGTTCTCGGAGTAATAATTCGTGATATTTTTAAATACTTTTAAAAGGGTCCTCGCAGTACAAATTGGCGATTCTCTAAAAATATTTTTTTCCAGATCAATAATTAGAAATTTTTATGAATATTTTTGTGGGTACTCGGAGCAATTAGTGAGGACTTTTTAAATAATATTTTTTTCGAGAATCCTAGGAGCAATTATCGATATTTTTTTAAAAAATAATTTTAAGGGACCTCAGAGCAAGAACCGCGGACATTTTTAAAATTATTGCTTCAAGAGCTCTCAAAGCAATAATCCAGGATATTTTAAAGAATATTTTAAGGGTTCTCGGAGCTATAATTAGTGATTTTTTAATACTTTTTCAAGTGATCACGGAGCAAGAATTCGGGACTTTCTAAAATTTTTTTTCGGATCAATAATTGGAAATTTTTATGAACATTTTTGAGGGTCTTCGGAGCAATAATTGAGGACTTTTTAAAGAATATTTTTTCAAGAATCCTAGGAGCAAATATCGATGATTTTTTAAAGAATAATTTTAAGGATACTCGGAGCAAGAACCATGGTCTTTTTTTAAATTATTGCTTCAAGAGCTCTCTAAGCAATAATCCAGGATACTTTAAAGAATATTTTCAAGGGTTCTCGAAGCAAGAATTAGTAATTTTTTAAATACTTTTATAAGGGATCTCGTAGCGCAAATTGGGGACTTTCTAAAAATATTTTTTCTTGTCCCCTGGGTCAATAATTGGAGATTTTTAAGAATAGAATTGAGGGTCCTCGGAGGAATAATTAGGATATTTTTTCAAGGACTCTCGGACCTTTTTCAAGGGTTCTCGGTGCAATAATTAGTGATATTCTTTCAAGGGCCCTGGGAGCAATTGAAGACTTCCTAAAAATACTTCTCCTGGTGCCCTCGGTTCAATAATTGGTGATTTTTTAAAATATTTTTGAGGGTCCTCCAGGATATTTTGAAGATTATTTTTCAAGGGTTTCCGGAGCAATAATTTGAGTTTTTTAATATATTTTCAAGGGCCCTCGCAGCACAAATTGGGGACTTTCTAAAAACATTTTTCTCGAATCAATAATTTGGAATTTTTATTTTGAGGGTCCTCGGAGCAATAGCTGAGGACTTTTTAAAGAATATTTATTCAAGAACCCTCGGAGCAATCATCGATGATTTTTTTAAAGAATAATTTTAAGGGGCCTCGGAGCAAGTACCCTTGTTTTTTTAAATTATTGCTTCCAGAGCTCTCTAAGCAATAATCCAAGATATTTTGAAGAATATTTTTGAAGGGTTTTCGGAGCAATAATTAGTGATTTTTAAATACTTTTATAAAGGCCCTCGTAGCTCAAAGTGGGTACTTTCTGAAAATATTTTTTCTTGTACCCTTGGATCAATAATTATGGATTTTAAGAATAGATTTGAGGGTCCTCGGAGCATTAATAGACGATAATCCTAGATATTTTGAAGAATATTTTTCAAGGATTCTAGGAGCAATATATAGTGATTTTTTTAAATATTTTTTCAAGGGTCCTCACAGCACAAACAGCACATTTTTAGAGAATTATATTTCAACTGACCTTGGAGCCAAACTTGGGGAATTTTCGAAGGTCCCTTGGTGCAAAAGTTAGGGATTTTTTAAAGAATATTTTTTTTTCAAAATATGTCGATTTATAAAAAATATATCATTGACCCTCTGAGCGAAAAGTAGAGATTTTCAATATTTTTTAGGAGGACTCGTAGTAATAATCGTAGATTTCTTGAAGAATATTTTCAGAGGTCCTCGTTGTAATAATTGGGGGTGTCCTTAAAGAAAATTTTTCAGTGGACCTAGGAACAATAATCGAGTATTGAAAAATATTGAAATATAAGAAAATAGTTGATTTTCATGGAAAGCCTTTTGTTGCACTACGGGAATATGTTTTACTTCTTGGCGACCTTTAAGTCCTTTCAATTTCAAAAAGGTTTCTTCGTTCCATGTGGACTTGGATAATTCTTTCCTCTTAGTAAATTTTTTGAAAAATAATTCTCCATGTCCCAATAGCTTCGATTTTTGAAGAGTTTCTGTTTTGATTCCAGATACTCCATTGGCCAGGACAAATGGATGTTGGAAAGTGGTGTTATGTCTGGCCTGATATTTGTGTTGGACTTGTCGAATCTATCGTTTGGTCACATTACCAGGATTGGCATCTCTTCGTTGAAGAAGGTTATGTACTATTTACAAGTGAGTTTCAGAATCTTAAGATTCTCTTTCTCAATCATTAGAGATTTTATAAGGTTTCCAAAAAATTTAATTTAATTTTTACTCTCCTCTCAGGAAGCCATACCCGGTCGCTTGGTGGGCTTGCATTTCATTAATGCCAGTAAAAGTGTTGACAAATTAATGGTCCTGTTGAATCCCTTGCTGAAAAAGGAACTTATGGATATGTTCCATGTCCACACGACCATGGACACATTCTACAAATTTGTGCCACGCGATATTCTGCCCAAGGAATATGGTGGGCCCGGTGGTGAATTGAAACAATTGAATGGTAAGAAGAGATAATGGGGTGGGAAAATTATATAAATGGTTTGTAATGGGTGTGATCATCCTTTTTTTTACAGATGCGTATTTCCAAGGCCTGATGGACAGCCGCCAGGAAATCATCGATTACAACAACACACATCGTGTCAATGAAAAGTTGCGCCCAACCAAGGCCAAACTTAACTCAGAACTCTTTGGCACCGAGGGCAATTTCAAGAAATTGGATATTGATAAAAGCCTTGGATTTGTTGTTCGTAGATTTTAATATTTTTTTATGATTTTTTTTAAATAATAAAAAAAGTCACAATCTCCACTCCAGACTCAAACTTCGCCATGTACCATTAAAAAGTAGACAATTATTGTGTTTTTTATTTGCATTGAACTTTAGCCGGCTGAATTTTTGGCAAATTAAAGTAGATATGTTCCAGAGTAATAATCAACTAAATTAGCTTGTATTCGTCATCGTACGATAGCTATTTAATGATGGCAATTAAAAGCTGGCGACATTAAGCTGGGGTCGGTTTTTTTTTTTTTTTTTTTTTTTTTTTGTATAAAAAATGTATTTTTTAAAAACTATTTTTCAGGGGCCTCGGAATTATATTTGGAGACTGAGCAATAATTGGGGATATTTCTAGAACCCTCGGAGCAATATTTTGTCATTTTCCGAAGAATATTTTTCAAGGGCCCTCTCATAATTAAAGATTTTTTTTAAATATATTTCAAAGGGCACACAGAGCAATAATTGGCGATTTTTCAAGGGCCCTCGGAGCAATTATTGGTCATTTTTTGAAAAACATTTTTTTTCAAATATTCAAAAATAGTTTTAAGGTCCTCGAAGCAATAACCCTGAACTTTTTTTTTAAATGATTGCATTAAGATCCCTCTAAGCAATAATCCTGGATATTTTGAAGAATTTATTTTCAAGGGTTCTAGGAGCATTCTTTGATGAATTTTAAAATAATTTTTCATGGGCCCTCGGAGTAAAAATTAGTGGCTTTCTAAAAATATTTATTTTGGGGGCCTCGGATCAATAATTGGGATTTTTTAGAATAATAGTTGTGGACTATTTAATAAATGTTTTTTCAAAAACTTTCGGAGCAATCATTAAAATACCTTTTCAAGGGCCCTCGTAGCACAAATTGGTAATTGCTGATTTTTTAAAGAATAAGTTTAAGGGCCCTAAGAGCAAGCAACGCTGACTTTTTTAATAGTATTGCTTCAAGATCCCTCTAAGCAATAATCCAGGATATTTTGAAGAATATTTTTCAAGGGTACTAGGAGCAATATTTAGTGATTTTTTAAAATACTTTTTCAAGACCCCATGAATCCCAAATTGCGATTTGGGATTTTTTAAAGAATATTTTTCAAAAAACATTGAGGACTTTTTAAAGATTGAGGACTTTTTAAAGAACATTGGTGTTTTTTTAAACAATTATTTTAAGGGAGCTCGGAGCACAAATTGAGGACTTTCTAGAAATACTTTTTTCTCGAACCATTGGATCAATAATAAGGATTTTTTAGAATATTTTTGAGAGTCCTCGGAGCAATAGTTTAGGACTTTTTAAAGAATATTTTTCAAAGAGCCCTAAGGAGCAATAATTGAAGATTTTTCAAGGGCCCTCGCAGCAATAATTTATATTTTATTTATATTTTTCAATTATTCAAAAATAATTTTAATTTTTTTCAAGAACCCTCAAAACAATCATTGCTGAAGTATATTTCTCAAGGGTACTCGGTTTCTCTAAATATTTTTTCTAGGGCCCTCGGATCAATAATTGTGGAATTTCTAAAAATGTTTTGAAAAATATTTTTCAAGGGTTCTAGGAGCAATATTTAGTAATTTTTTAAAATACTTTTTTAAGGGCCCTCGGATCACAAATTGAGGACTTTCTAAATATATTTTTCAACGGAACAATATGGGATTTTTAAAAATATTTTTAAGGGTCCTCGGAGCAATAATTGATGACTTGTGAAAGAATATTTTTCAAGAAACGTCGGAGCAATTATTGGTGATTTTTTTAAAGAAAAATGTTAAGGCCCTCGCCACAAGAACCGTCGACTTTTTCCAAATTATCGTTCAAGAGCTCTCTAAGCAATAATCCTGGATAATTTGTAGAGTATTTTATCAAGGGTTCTCGGAGCAATAGTTAGTGATTTTTTAATACTTCTTCTAGAGCTCTCGGAGCACAAATCGGCAACTTTCTAAAAATATATATTTTTTTAAAATAATTATTGCTGATTTAAAAAAAAAAGTTAAAGGTCCCTCTGAGCCAGAACCGTGAGCTTTTTTAAAATTATTGCTTCAAAATCCCTGTGAGCAATAATCCAGGATATTTTGAAGAATATTTTTCAAGGGTACTAGGAGCAATATTTAGTGATTTTTTTGAAATACTTTTTCAAGGGCCCTTGAATCACAAATTTGAAACTTTTTTAAAATATTTTTTCTTGAGCCAAAACCGTGGGCCTTTTTAAAATTATTGCTTCAAGATCCCTCTAAGCAATAACCCAGGATATTTTGAAGAATATTTTTCAAGGGTACTAGGAGCAATATTTAGTGATTTTTTTGAAATACTTGTTCAAGGGTCCTTGAATCACAAATTTCGAACTTTTTTTAAATATTTTTTCTTGAGCTCTCGAATCAATAATTGGGGATTTTTTAAAAAATATTTTTCAAAGAGCCCCACTGAGCAATAATTGAGGACTTTTTTGAAGAATATTTTTTTCAAAAACCCTCGGAGCAATCATTGGTGGTTTCTTAAAGAATAATTTTAAGGGACCTCGGCGAACAAATTGAGGATTTTCTAAAAATACTTTTTCTCGGGCCCTTGGATCAATAATTGAGGATTTTTTAGAATATTTTTGAGAGTCCTCGGAGCAATAGTTTAGAACTTTTTTTTAAAGAATATTTTTCAAAGAGCCCCAAGGAGCAATAATTGAAGATTTTTCAAGGGCCCTCGCAGCAATAATTTGTCATTTTTTGAAGAATATTTTTTAAGGGCCCTCAGAAGAATATACGGAGATTTTTTTAAGAATTTTTTTTCAAGGCAATAATTAGGAATTTTCCAAGGTCCCCACTAAGCAATAATTGGTCATTTTTGAAAAATATTTTTCAAGGTCCCTCGGATCAATAATTGCTCTTTTTTGAAGAATATATTTTTCAATTATTCAAAAATAATTTTAATTTTTTTCAAGAACCCTCAAAACAATCATTGATGAAGAATATTTCTCAAGGGTACTCGGAGCAATAATTAGTGATTTCTTAAAATATTTTTTCTAGGGCCCTCGGATCAATAATTGGGGACTTTCTTAAAATGTTTTAAAAAATATTTTTCAAGGGTTCTACGAGCAATATTTAGTGATTTTTTAAAATATTTTTTTAAGGGCCCTCGGATCACAAATTGAGGACTTTCTAAATATATTTTTCAACGGAACAATATGGGGATTTTTAAAAATATTTTTTAAGGGTCCTCGGAGCAATAATTGATGACTTGTGAAAAAATATTTTTCAAGAAACCTCGGGGCAATCATTGGAGATTTTTTTTAAGAAAAAATTTAAGGGCCCTCGGCGCAAGAACCGTGGACTTTTGGACCTGCATATTTTGAAGAATATTTTATCGAGGGTTCTAGGAGCAATAGTTAGTGATTTTTTAATACTCCTTTAAGAGCTCTCGGAGCACAAATCGGCAAATTTCTAAAAATATATATTTTTTTTAAAATAATTATTGCTGATTTAAAAAAAAAAAGTTCGAGAGCAATCTGAGCCAAAACCGTGGGCTTTTTTAAACATTTTGCTTCAAGATCCCTCTAAGCAATAATCCAGGATATTTTGAAGAATATTTTTCAAGGGTACTAGGACCAATATTTAGTGATTTTTTTAAATACTTTTTCAAGGGCCCTTGAATCACCAATTTGGAACTTTTTTAAAATATTTTTTTCTAGGCTCTCGAATCAATAATTGGGGATTTTTTAAATAATATCTTTCAAAGAGGATTGAGGACTTTTTAAAGAATATTTTTTCAAAAACCCTCGGAGCAATCATTGATAGTTTCTTAAAGAATAATTTTAAGGGACCTTGGAGCACAAATTGCGGACTTCCTACAAATATTTTTTTTTCGGGCCCTTTGATTAATAATTGAGGATTTTTTTTGAATATTTTTGAGGGTCCTCGGGGCAATAGTTGAGGACTTTTTAAAGAATATTTTTCAAGAACCCTCGGAGCCATCACGTTGATTTTTTAAAGAATAATTTTAAGGGCACTCGTTGCAATAACCGCGGATTTTTTCAAAATTGTTGTTTCAAGAACTTTCCGGATATTTTGAAAAGTATTTTTCAAGAGTTCTAGGAGCAACACTTTTTTAAATACTTCTTCAAGGGCCCTCGGACACTTTCAAAATCTCCGCATACCAATCCGTTGGACTATTGTGTCTGGAGTATTTTGGAAAGCAAGGTTGATACCAAAAAATACCAAAGTGTCGAGCATCTCAAGCAAGCGCTTCGACGGGAATGGCCTAAAATACCGCAGAGCAACATTCGGGCATTGTGTGACGGTTTCATTATGGCCGTTTTCGTGCCAAAGGTGATCAATTCGAACAAATCTAAACTTATTCTAAAATTTCATTCAATAAAATTAAAAAAAAAATAATTAATTATGGCATTTGACTTTGTTGCAGTTTTTTATCTCACCCTGTATATATTGGATTTCGAGCTTCAGAGATGATAAATTATCCCACATGCCTATTACCGCATTCGAACCCCACTAGATTAGCAATGAAACATCCGATTTTTACCCCCAGGAAAGGAAGAATTCTACCCTTTTCATTTCATAACGTTAGGTGGGTTCTTATAGACATTCTCGGTGTGACTGATCTTACACCATCCGATAATTGGGTAGTTTTTAAAAATTATTTTTCAAGGGTCCTCTAAACAATAATTGCGGATTTTTGAAAAATATTTTTCAAATTGCCTCGGAGCAAAAAATTGGGAATTAAAAAAAAAATATTTTCTCAAGGACAGTCTGCTGGTTCTATAATTTTCGATTACCTCCCCCAAGAACTCACCTGAATCCAACTTTTTTACATTTTACACTTATATGTTAATTAGGTCATATTGTGCATGAATTCATTCATTCAATGAACTTTGATTTTGTACGAAATGTTCCGGTTTTCATGTCTCTTCAAATTATTCGAAATTAAGATTGTTATCTGACTAAACAACCGCAACTGGTATGTCATTCGACAATCATTCCAACAGCAGCTATCAATTGTAACGTTACCTAATTCTCCCAGCCCAAAATGTGGACTTTTTTCAATTTGGATGAGCAATATCGTCGTTTTCCAACAATAAATCGGAATGAAGTTCGAAAAATTTTGGAATGGATTAACGCACAACCCCATCTTCCCCAGCTAAGCGAACAGGAGGTGCTGCTCTTCTATCAGGCCTGTAAACATCAGGTGGAATACACCAAACAAGTCATCGATGATTCGTTTACATTTCGTACCCACAATGAGGATTTCTTTGGCAATGTCGACACCGATTCGCCGCAAATGTTGCAGGCCATGGAAACGGTGTAGGATTATGACTGAGATTGGAAAATAATATTTTTTGATATCCTTTGGTTTTTGCTTTTGTGTTTTAGAGCCGGTTTTCCCCTGGAGAAACGTTCACCGGAGGGATGTGTTGTCATTTTGGGTAAACTTATTAACACCGACTCATCGAAGTTTGACTTTGTTGGGGCGCTGAAACTGTTAGTATTCTAGCTTTACTTCTGGGTTTTTTTTATTTATTTTGATGTTCGCCTACCATAAAATCCTTTATTTCCCACTTTCTTGATGTTTTCAGGTATTGCTTGGCTCAAGACATGTGGCTTTTGGAGAATGGTCTCACCAACGGAATTACTTTTGTCTTTGATTTAACCGGTTATACTTTTGGACATTTGACACGCATTGGCATTGGCCCGCTGAAAAGTTTGCTGTATTTTTTACAGGTATGATATATTTATTTTACACGCTGTGTAAATTTTGTTCTCAATTTTTGGAACTCATCACAGGAAGCAATACCGGTGCGTCTGTTCAGTGTTCATATCGTCAATGCTGGATCGGTTATAGAAACATTAATGGCGATGTTAAATCCCTTGCTAAAACCAGAAAATAAGGAGGCTTTCAAAGTACACACCTCAGTGGAAGATCTTTACAGATATATACCGCAAGATATGTTGCCACAGGAACTGGGTGGACCATTGCCGCACTCAAAGGAATTGAGGGGTGAGTATTTCAATGTAAAGCAAGGAGGGGAAATGGAAGCTTTACGTGTAAAATCACTTTATTACCAACAAAAGATGAACATGTAAATTCCATATTTTATAAACAGACTCTTAAAACGCCATGGAAATCAACGTTTTTTGACTCCAACGATCATTGTTAGTTTCGTGTTGCCAAATAAAAACAATGAACTCAGCATCGCCTTGCCAACCACCATGAAATCAATGAATGTCAAGTTTTTGATTTAGTTGGCGACACGAACAAACGATGAAAGTTGTGTTGCTTTTAATGTGGTTGGCATCACTTTCGCTATTTTCATGCCATGGTAATATTTAAGTGATCAAACCAGGGTAATTTAATGGTAAAATAATATTCAAATTTGTTAAAATTATTAAAAAAAAAAACGCATATCATAACAACTTTCTAATGACTACGTATAGGAAAACATATACACACAAATGTATTTATTTAAAAAAAAAACACAAGTAAAAAAGCTGTAAGTTCGTCTGGGCCGAACTTTGAATACCATCGACCATTTGGAACGAATTTCGCAATTCTCAAAAACAATAAAATCTGTTAAAAATTCTGTTAAAATCTTAAAAATACCGAATGTAGCTATTATATTAGGGTCTATACGATAAGCCATTACAATTCAAATGCGAAACTTAAAAAAATCGGTTATAATGTCTATAAAATCAAAATACCGAATATCTGGATGTACCGTTATATGGGGCTATACGAAGACAATTTTTTGTCGTAGGCTGTAGTATCCATTACGAACTTCAAATATCAAATTTGAAACAATTCTGGTGTAAAAAATCATTAAAATACCGGATATCGGGAGGTACCGTTATATGAGGCCTTTACGAAGAGGTGGACCTGCACAGACAATTTTATGTCTTAGGCTGTAGTATCCATTACGAACTTTAAATTCCAAATTTGAAACAATTCCGGTGAATAAATTCGCTAAAATCATCAAAATACCGAATATCGGGAGGTACCGTTATATGGGGGCTATACCAAAACGTGGACCTACATGACCCATTTTCAATACCAAAAGTCCTACAGACATAACATTACATTTGAGCAAAATTCTATCAATCTACTTCAATTCGTTCGGAAGCTAGAGTGCTTTCCACAGACGTACAGACGGATGGACATCGCTAAGTCGACATAGAATTTTACGCTGATCAAGAATATATATACTTTGTGAGGTCTAAAATGTGTATTTCGAGGTGTTACAAACAGAATGACAAACTTAATATACCCTCCTTACTATGGTGGAGAGCATAAAAACATAAAAGAAAATTGATATATAAATAATCCCAAGCGTAGATGCATCTACCTTTATTCTTCTACCATGGACCAAAAACATGAGCCATCTATTAGATCATCCAATATTGTTAAAATGCTTGCATCTGTGAATTAAAGGTATGAAAACGTAAGCAAAAAATTTGACAGAATGATTTTTTTCAATCACAATAGTTATTTTCCTTTCTTCTTACATGACTTGTTTAGTGGGCCTTGACCAAACTCAAGGCTTAACGGATCCCTGTTCCATTAACCATAATAGAGCGACTCAAGGCTTTGTCTTAAAAGTTGCATTTCGCATTGCCACTTTGATTTGTTTTCGAAGTGGTTGGCAATGACTTCGTTGCTTCAATGAGGTCGATATTATTTTGGCAACACGTCACAACGATTATTTCACCATGGTCTTTAATTATTCCCACCAAAATCCTTTTTGAAGCCCCCATTGTGTTCCCTTCCTAATATTGGGATACTAATAATTTCTCCTTCTTTCTTTCAGAAATATTCTACAAACAATTGCGAGCCAACCGCCAACAAATCATTGAATACAACCACAGTCGCCAAGTCAAGGAAGAACTACGACCGGCCAAATCGAAAAGCAAAGCTTCAAATCTCTTTGGCACCGAAGGACATTTCAAGAAACTGGATTTCGATTGAAGATGAGGCTATGGGATTTGCTGCTTCAAAATAGGGGCAGGATGGGAAGCTCTGCTTTCGTTTGTGATTGTTTATCAGATGAATAAATTAAAAAAAAAATAAATATAATTAATAAAAAAATTAATTTTTGGGGGAATTTTTATGGGATACATGCGGTATACGGAGATGGTATGGTATTCTATAGAAAAAACTGTTATACAATATATTTTCTTTATAGAGAAATAAAAAAATACGAATTCTATGCACACAAGAGTGTTATACAACAAATATTTTATGGGAAAAGTTGGTATAGAACACATTTTATCTACGCAAGTGTGTAACACTGAATATATGCTGTAGGAAAAACTGTTATACAATCAAAAAGATGTTATATAACACATTTTCGGCATAGACATGTGTTATACAAAACTTAACACAAAATATTTTCTATTCGGAATTCTGTTATACAGTACATTTTCTTCAAACAAATGTGTTATACGACCCACTGAGAAGGGTTAAAAAAACATTTTTCTTTTTCCAAATGTGTCTTACAGGACATTTTCTATACGAAAATGTATTCTACAACACCGTTTCTTTATGGAAATTTGTTATACTACACATTTCCTATACGGAAAAGTGTTATACAACACATTTTCTATAGGGAAATATTTTACAAAACAGATTTCCTTAACGGAAATATGTTATGTGACACATTTTCTATACGGAAATGTTTTATACAACACATTTTCTATACCGAAATGTGTTATACAAAATATTTGCTATACGGAAATGTATTATACAAAAGATTTTCTATACAAAAAAGTGTTATAAAACAAATTTTCTATACATATTTCTTAATGGAGATGTGTTATACAAAAGACTTTCTATACAGAAATGTGTTATACAACACATGCTCTAGTCGGAAATGGGTTATACAACACAATATCTAAACGGAAATGTGTTATACAACACATTATCTATACGAAAATATGTTATACAACACATTTTCTATACGGAAATGTGTTATACAACACATTTTCTATAGAGAAATGTGTTATACATCATATTTTCATGTGTTATACAACTCATTTCTATAGGGAAATCTGTTATACAACAGATTTTCTTTGTGGAAATGTGTTATACAACACATTTTCTTTTGTGAAGTGTTATACACCACATTTTCTACAGATAAATAAGGTATGCAACACATTTTCTATAAGGGAATGTGTTGTAAAACACATTCTCTATACGAAAATATGTTATACACCATATTTTCAAAATTAAAATGTGTTATACAACATATTTTCTTTTCGGAAATGTGTTATACAACATATGCTCTACACAGAAATATATTATACAACAAATTTTCTATACAGAAATGTGTTATACAACACATTTTCTTTTCGGAAATGTACTATACAACAAATATTATGTGTTATACGCCACAAAACATATTCGGAAATGTGTTATACAACATATCTTCTATACAGAATTGTTTTATACACTATTTTCTTTCATAGCAATGTGTTATATTATACTTTTTTCTGCCCATAAAACTGTTATACCGAACTAATTCAATAAAAATTGATAAAAACACCTCCCCGTATTTAAAATTGTTATACAACACATTTATTATGCAAAAATCTGTTCTACAACGAATAATAAATTTCGGGTACTAATGTTAAGCTACCTGTCTTCTGTGAGGATAGATCAATGTCTTGGAACCAGTGAATAAAAAATTTATTTTAAATACAACAACTAGATTGATAACATCAAATCACGTTGAATACCAGTTTTCATTTTTTTGATTAAGTGCACTTATTTTTTTCTTTGCTCTCTCATAATACCGGATTGGCTAAGAAGTAGAAACGCAAATATAAATTAAACTTCCAAAATGACCAAATAATTGCGCTGCGATCAAGACAAGATGTGTAAGAAACGAATTTGATTTTATATTCTTTCTGATTTTGTTCCAGCTCAATTCATTTAAGGTTTACCTTTCTTTGTGGTCGGAACAGTATTCAGAATCTTTTCTCTGCTACAAAAATGTGGCAGTTATACAATTTGGAAGAACAGTATTCCAAACATCCAGAAATTAAACGTGATGAGGTTTTGAAGTTGTTGCAATGGTTGGATACCCAACCTCACATGCCAACGCTAACCGAACAGGAGGCATTGTTGTTCTTCCATGCCTGCGATCATAGCATGGAGTATACAAAGCGTGTCATTGATATCTATTTGACATGTCGCACACATTTTGAGGATTTCTTTGGGAATATGGATGTGGAATCGGCCGCCTGGAAACGTCTGTTCAAAACGATGTATGTAAAAGTGTTTAGAAGTGAAATTAAACTGTTATATTGCAATTTTAAATTATTTAGTACTGCATTCCCCCTGGACCAAATCACACCGGAGGGATATGGTGTTATACTGGGAAAACTCGATGACACCGAAACGGCTAACTTCTGTTTTACCGATGCCATGAAATTGTGAGTAGATTTTCAACATTATAGGTGTGTTGTTTTTCAAAATAATTTCTTTTTTCAAAACTATTTTCAGATATTTTTTGGTCCAAGACATTTGGTTGCAAAAAGTCGGCCTCTTAAAGGGCCTGATATTTGTCGTGGACTTTGATGGGGTTACCTTTGGTCATATTGCCCGCATTGGCATTATGCAAATGAAGAAGTTCCTCTACTATTTACAGGTGTGTTGGCAAATATTTTAAAATTCTTTTCTAATTGCAATTATTTAAATTTTTTATTAGGAAGCCATACCCGTTCGTTTGGTTGGTTTGCATTTCATAAATATTGGACCGGTTATCGACAATTTGATGGTCTTAATGAAGCCATTCATGAAGAAGGAATTGAATGATATGTTCCACATTCACACTGGGGTGGAGTCGTTTTATGAATTTGTACCGCGTCAAATGTTGCCACAGGAATTGGGTGGACCGCAGGCCCATTCCAGGGAGCTAAAAGGTTTAAAGTCTCTTTTTTAAAGAAATTTAAAAAAATAGATAATTTGTTTTAAATATTTTATAGATATTTAAATTTGTATTTATTTATTAATTTTTGCCACTAATTATTTAATTAATTATGTTTTGTTAATTATTTTTTATTAAATAATTATTAATTAATTGTTTAATAATTTATTTAATTTTAATTTATTAAGTAATCTAGATTATTTTTTAATTAATTTATGATTTATTTATTTACTTTTAGTGTTTATTTTAGTATAAACAAATACTAAAATAAACACTAAAAGTAAATAAATAAATCATAAGTAAATTAAAATTTTTTATTTATACATTTTGTATATAATTTATTAACATTTATTAGTTTTTTATCCAATTTTCTTTTATTCATTTCTTTCCTTTTCAGAAAACTGTTATAACGAATTGCGAGAACATCGCTATGAGATTATCGAATACAACTGTCATCGTCGTATCAATGAATCACTGAGACCTGCCAAATCGTCGGCATCGACAAACGATTCCAACATGTTCGGTATCGAGGGTAATTTTAAGAAATTAGATATTGATTAATAAACTATAAAAACATTATTTAGTAGACCCCACTTTCATTATAACACTTTGTGATAGACAAAACAACATTTTGCGTAATGAATTTATCATGTATAACACAATTTCGTCCGCAAAAACTTTTGTATAACAGTTACTTATGATGAAAATGTACATTTTCCTCAAAGAAGTGTCTTTTATAACACATTTCCGCATAGAAAATGTGTTGTATAACACATTTTCGTATAATTAATATATTATTTAACACATTTCCGTATAGAAAATTTCTTGTATAACACATTTCCGTACAGAAAATGTGTTGTATAACACATTTCCGTATAGAAAATTTCTTGTATAACACATTTCCGTACAGAAAATGTGTTGTATAACACATTTCCGTACAGAAAATGTGTTGTATAATACATTTCCGTATAAAAAATGTACTGTATAACGCATTTACTTACAGAAAATGCGTTGTATAACACATTTTCATATAGAGAATATGTTATTTAACACATTTACATATCGAGAATGTGTTGTATAACACATTTCCGTATAGAAAATGTTTTGTATAACTCATTTCCATATAGAAAATGTTTTGTATAACACATTTCCGTATAGAACATGAGTTGTATAACACATTTCCGCATAGAAAAGGTGTTGTATAACACATTTCATTAAAGAAAAATGTATTGTATAACATAGAACATGAGTTGTATAACACATTGCCGTATAGAAAATTTCTTGTATAACACATTTCCGTACAGAAAATGTGTTGTATAACACATTTCCGTATAAAAATGTACTGTATAACACATTTACTTACAGAAAATGTGTTGTATAACACATTTCCGTATAGAAAATGTTTTGTATAACTCATTTCCATATAGAAAATGTTTTTTATAACACATTTCCGTATAGAACATGAGTTGTATAACACATTTCCGCATAGAAAAGGTGTTTTATAACACATTCCTTTAAAGAAAATGTATTGTATAACATAGAACATGAGTTGTATAACACATTTCCGTATATAAAATGTGTTGTATAACAAATTTCCGAGCAGAAAATATGTTGTATAACACATTTCCGTATAGAAAATCTACTGTATAACACATTTCCGTATAGAAAACGTGTTGCATAACACATTTCCGTATAGAAAATGTACTGTATAACACATTTTCTTAAAGAAAATGTGTTGTATAGCCCATTTCCGTAAAGAAAATGCGATGTATAACACATTTCCGTATTGAAAATGTGTTGTAAAACAAATTTCCGTGTAGAAAATTCATGGTATAATACATTTCCGAGTAGAAAATGTGCTGTATAACACATTTCCATACGGAACATTTTTGTATAACACATTTCCGTATAGATTATCTTTTGTATAACACATTTCCGTATAGAAAATCTTCTGTACAAAACATTTCCGTATAGAAAATGTATTGTATGACACATTGATTGCACGACTTCCACAATAACACCTAGCAGGTACTGCAGTGGAAGTTATGCTGACGAACGAGAAGGGCCTTCTTCTCATGTAGATGGTCCACTGGTGCCATGTTTTTCTCAGAGCAGCATTCTCGCAGATCTGGTAATCTTTCACTGCGTCAAAAATGTAGTGTATAACAGTTTATTTGAGACAACGTGTTTTTTTCCTACAAAAATTATCGGAGGGTATATATGTCTTCCGTTCACTTGAGAGGGCTTCAATCTTTGGAATGCTTATGGACGGTCATCTTTCCATGTAAGTTCACCAGAAAACTCATAATAAAGGGGCTATTTTGTATCATCTTGCAGAAGTTCCCTTGCAATATAGTGTTTCATTTGCAAAAGATTTGTTTTTTTTTTTATTTTAAAAATTATCTTTTTTTATTTTTTATAAAGATTTTTATCTTAAGATAATAAAAATCGTTTTCTTTTTTTTTTTAAATTAAAATAAAAGCCCATACTTTGTAACAGTAACTTGACATTGAGTGTTTGTAAAATACATTATTTATATATGTAAGCATTAAAAATAAATGTGTTTACATGTGTGAGATGTTAGTAAATCACTTTTCAAATGATAAACAAAAAATCGGATGTGAAAAATTATCAAAAAAAAAAAGAAAAAAATTAAATTAACGATCTTAGATAATGGGATGGGTCGCATTGGAGACCATTAAATATTATTAATATTAATTCTTATCATTGTTATTACTCTGTATGTTAGTATTATTATATTATTTACAGATTTACAAGAAATATACAGTCCAAAATTTGCTTTGGAACTTATTTTACAAAGTGTAAAACTTAATGAACCGAAAACGTGTTTTGTTTTTGAATTGAAACATTGAAATTCTTAGAATCAAAAATGAAAAACAATAGTATAAAAGAAGTGACATTTAAAAACATTTGCCCTGTTCCAGCACCTGCAAGAATCTACAATCTTTTTCAATTTTCTTCGAAACCATAAAGAGAATATCGTTTATCGTAGCAAAAACTTTTGTATTCTTGCTGTTCTGGAACAGATCAATTACTATGTTTCTATCTGCAATATAAATACACAATCCGAGTACCTCAACATATACTCGCCGATATAGGGGTTAATAAACCTTTAATACTACCTTAACAACTATTTATGATACCATTTACACTGAAGCTAAATGAAATGATTGTACGAATGTGTGACAATGGATGAGTGTTTGTAATGTCATATGCCAAAACAAACTAAAACTATGGAGCAATATATTCTTCTTATCCATATATATCACATTTCTGGGGTTTTTTTCTCCTCCTCCTCCTTCTCTACCCTTCTGATGATGGTTGGAGCTGGCTGTTGCAGCAAGAAACAAAATCCTAAAGAAGGCAATTTGCCATCGCCAAAATCACAACCCATGTGTATCTTCAATGGTAACGCATTTGACGATTTGAATTAGTTTTGCCACCACCACCACCAGTTGAACGCGAATTTTGCTTTTTGGCCATGGGTGCAGCTATGGTCTGGTGATTAGTAGCCACACCTCCAACGCTGCCAACGTTATTCACTGTCCCCGTGTTATTCATTATCCATCGGTTATTTGCCTGCGGTACAATTGGATAGTTGAGGTTAGCTGAATTGGCCGGTGTGGTAATGGTTTGCTAGAAAAAAGGAAAACAGAAAAATAAAAATTAAATTCGAAAATAATTATAAATAAAAAAAAATCTGTATGTAAGAGATTTTTCCAAGGGAATTCAGCTTATATCAAGGCCTACAGAAGTCGACTAAAAGACTACTTTTAACAATAACATGGCAACTGCTGCTCAATTGTGATTTGACTCTCTTTGAATTTTAAATCACAATTAAGGCATTTGACAGCAAACATAGTTTTCAGATGGTCTTACTGGCCGATCTTATATAGGTCATGGTCTACAGAAGACCTGTATATTGAAAATGTGTTTTATAGACAAAGACCTTCTATAGTTTTTATAGAAATAGAAGTCCTTCTGAATGTCATCACAAGATTTTCTATAAAACGAGATATCTCAAAGATTTTCCATAATAGAAGACCTTCCTTAGGTCTATAAAAGAAGACTCTGAAAAGATGTATACTAAAAGTCCTACAATAGAAGACCTAGCAAGGAAAGTGTTTTATAATTAGAATATCTTCTTATCGTCTTTTCATAAATAGAAAACTTTCAAATTTTGTATTTGGAGAACCTTCTATTTATAGAAAACATTTTAAGTACTTAAAATTTATAGAAGGCCTTTGGCATATATCTTGTAACTATTCAAGTGCATTGGAAGGTCTTTTAACCAAAGAAATTGTAGAGTTATTTAACAACAGAAATCCTTTTTTGTCTTCAATCTATTGGGAGGTCTTCTGCATATGAAAGGTCAAGTCAGGAGGCCTTCTATATATTAAATATCTTTTAGAGGTCTTCTAGCAATGAAAATCTATATTTGGGCTTTTATTTGTAGAAGACCTTTGGGAGGACTTATATGGTATGGTATGGTGGTAATAGACCGTTGGGAGAACCTTATCTTTAGAAAATTTTTAATAAATTTCCTCTCTTTATACACATCTTTCTCTATGTCCCCCATCTAAGCCGTCTCTTTCTACAGAAGATCTCTTTTTGTAACTCTTTCCATATAGACCATCAGGAGGTCTTCTATCCACAGAAGATTTTTATGCAATCTTTTATTTATAGAAGATCTTTTGAGGGTCTTCTGCCTATAGGCGTTTTCAACGTTTTCTATTCATCGAAGTCCTCCAGGAGATGTTCCAACTATAGAAGCCCCCTCAAAGTGTCTTCCATTTAAAGAAAACACTTAAGACTTTGGTCTATTAAAAACATCTGCAGGTATCTTAGTTTGGGCTTCCATGTGTAGAAAACCGTTGGATGATCTCATATCTTTTAAAACCCGTTGGGAGGACTACTATCTTTGGAGGAACTGTGAGGGTTTTTCTATCTAAATTGACCCTCACAAAGCCTCACAACATAAAGGGAATGGTCTTCGGCTTGTTTTTTCTTTCATATATCTTTGGATGCCTTCTATATGGACCTCCTTAGGTCTTCCATCTACAGAAGACGTTTGAGCGACAGAAGACTTTTTGGAAGTGCTTTTATTTGTAGAAGATCTTTTGAAGTTCCTCGATCTGTAAAAGACGTTTTGGACGCCTTCTATTTTTCGAAGTCTTCTGGGAATTTTTCGAACCGTAGGAGACCTTCAAAGAGGGATCTATCTAAAAAGACACTTAGAAAGTTTTCTACCTATTAATGTCTTTTAGAGGTATTAGTTGGGCAAAAATTTCGAGAAGGTAATTGAGAGGACTTATATCTCTTTAATTGACCGTTTTGAGAACCTTGATCAATGTAAAACTTCTGGCAACTCTTTTTGTGCTGAAGCTCTTTGATTTTATCTGCATATACCCCCAAGAAATTCGTCCATATACGGAAGCCATATTTTTCCAAAGAGACCTTCCATCTCTTTCTAGACTTTCAGAGGTCTTCCATCTACAGAAGATGTTCTAGAGGTCTTTTTGGATGTCTTCAGTTCATTGAAAGCTCTTGGCAAGCATTCAGACTATAGAATACCTTCAATAAGACCTCTATCTAAATAAGATTTTTAGGAAGACTTCTATACATTAAAGACTTTTGGAGGTAGTTGGGTTTCCTTGGGCGCTGAAAGGACTTTTATCTAATGAAGATCTTTAGGAGGTTTTTTCTTTACCTATATAGACCCTAAGAATGTCCCCCCTCTCATCTTTGGTCTGTGGTTATATTTGTTTATAGAAGACCTTTTGGTGGTCTTTTATTTATAGAAAATCTTCCAAAGTCTCCTATACCTATAGACGATGATATTTTGAATGTCTTCTATTTATCAAAGACTTCTGGGAAGTATTCGAACTATAGAAGACCTTCAAAGTGGGATCAGTCGTAAGAAGATTATATATTTTGGGGGCTCTTCTGTTGATAAAGACTTTTTAGGGCTCTGCTACTGATCTAAGGTCTTCCATTTTTATTAGATATTTAGAGGTTGTTTATAACTAGAATGCCTTTTGAAAGTCTTCGATATATAGAAGACCGATTAGCTTTAGGGGGTCTTCAACCATAATACTCTTGGGTAATTGTATATTTACGGAGGGCCTTTTTAAGGTCTTCTATTTGGGAAATCTTCTGTCTACTGAAGACCTTCGAAAATCGTTAATGAACAGAAGACCCTCCATTAGTCTTCTATAGAAGATAACCCCAAAAATGTCTTCTGTGACAGGAAGACCTTCTGAAAGATTTCCATGGAAATAAGTCCAAAGATCTTCTATACAAACATTTTCAAAAGGTTTTCTAAGACAAAAACACCATTAGTCTTCTAAAATGTTCTTCTGTGAAAGAAAGGCCTTCCGAAGGAATTCTATGTAAATAAATCCAAAGGTTTTCTGTTCAAATATTTTCGAAAGGTTTTCAATGACAAGAACAACTTTAAATGAACAAGACTATCTTCAAAAGTTCCTCTTGAAAAGAAGCGCTTCGAATGTCTTCTATGAAAATAAGAATTTCGTATGGTCTTCTGCGGAAAGAAGACATTCAAAAGGACGCCTTTGAAAGGTCTTCTGAGAAACCATTTTTTAGGAAGGGATTTTAAAGAGCTCCTATAAAAGAAGACATCCTACGAAAAATAGCCTACGGAAAAAAATCCTTCAAAAAAGTCTTCTAAGGATAGATGAGTTGAAGAAGACTTTTGGGATATTTCTTATTCATTGAATACCTTTGGAATGTCTTTTATTCATATAGGAATAAAAAAGATATCTATAAAAAGAGACATCCTAGAGGTCTTCTACAAAAAGTAGCCTATGGAAAAAATTCCTTCAAAAAGTCTTCTAAGGCCTTGAAGTAGACTTTTCAAATCTTTTCTATCCATAGAAGACCTTTGGAATGGTCCTTCCCTTTACTAAAGATCCTCATCAAAGAGGACCTTGGGAAATACCTGCAAAAGGTTCTCCTAGCTTAGAAACTTACAACATTATAACGCTGCACAGGTGTACTGTAGGTTGTATTGCAGCGTACAGTTTGCTGGTTCACGGGGATGACAACTTGACGCAAAAATGTGTTTGTGGGTAGTTTGAGGAGTTCCGCAGAATTGTTATTATTTGAACAACGTTGCGATGATGACGAGGCGGAAGCGGGGACCATAGATGACATTTGCGATGCAGAGGACAATAAATTATTTGCCGAAGACTTTTTACCCAACGATTTCTCTTTCTTCAGCGCAACCGATGGTGATGGTGATGAGGATGGGGGACCAGTTGTTTTGGTATTTACATTGGCAGGAATTATTAGAGATGTGGCAGCGGAGGATGAATTGGGATTGTGTTGCTGATAGAGAGAGAGAAAAAAATTATTACTTCATTGACGAAAAAAACAAGAAAATCGCTACCTACCATTTGCATTTGAAGACCACTGCTATTGGCCATTAAATTATTTCCATTATTATTCTGGTTACTGATAGTTGTGGTGGTGGTGGTGGTGGTGGTGGTGGTGGTGGGTTCGTGTACACACAATGCTCCATGCCTTGCCCAATGCATATCCTGACACCGATAATCACAATACGAGGTATTCCAACAGCAATATAATTTCGCCTCCCGACCACACTGGGCACACCATTGCTTGCGTTTGGTTTCTTCGACCACCCGTTTCCATTCCAATTCACGTTGTTGCCATTCCAACTCGCGTTGTTTCTGCTCCAGCTGACATTGTTTTCGTGTCTCGGCGATAACACGATTCTTTTCGATTTCCATATTTTTACGCATTTCCTCCAATTGTTTGCGCAGCTCTTCTTGTCCCTGACGACTGGTTTCCAGTTCGATGGTGGCCAACGAAAGTTTGGCCGCTAAACTTGTATCTTCGTGTTGCGTCAAATCACGTATGGTGTCCTCGATGGCATTCATAAATTCATAGGTTACCTGCATGAGGAAGGGGAGAATGGAGAGAGAGAAAATTTTAGAATGGGTTTTAATGTCCTTAAATGGTCTCGTAGAGAGTGGGTCTTCTTGAAAGACTAATAATTTTTAAGGGGCTTGGAGGAGAATAAGACCTTTCGAATGGTGTTTAATTGAAATGTGATCTTTAAATGTAGGCTGTAAAAAGAGGATCCCCGAAGTCAACTTAAATTTCTTCCTAAAGGTCAACTAGGTCATTCTTGGCCTCCGAGAGGTCTTTCATTCATGGAACGCCTCCTAGATGTCTTTTAAATGTAAGCTGTAGAAAGAGACTCTTTCCCAAAGAAGACCACTCAAATTTCTTTCATAGAAAGAAGACTTTCAGAAGGTCATATATGGGAAGACTTTTACAGGTTTTTCTTGGACTCCTAGAAGTCTTCTATTCATAAAACGTCTCCTAGAAGGTAGAAGAGCTCTTGGAAGTCTTTTATCCATAAAAGGCCTCCTAGAGGACCCCTAGAGATCTTCTATCCGTAGAATGCCTCCTAGCGGTCTTCCATCAATAGAAGCCTCCCAGAGATCTTCTATCCATAAAAGGCATGCTAGAGGTCTTCTATCTATTGAAAGCTTCATAGAAACCCTCCTAAAAGTCTTCTTTCCATAAAAGACCTAGAGATCTTCTATACATATAAAGCTTCCTTGAGGCTTTCTATTCAAAGGATTCCTCTAAGAGTCCTTCAAGAAGGCCTTCTTCAAAAAAAGAGCTTGGAAAGATCTTCGTAAGAGTCAAAAGGTGTTGTGGAAAATAAAAAGGCTTCGGTGGGAGACTGCTTCAAAAACAATATGACCTTCTAGAAGACTTCTAGGAAAGATCTGAAAAAGGGGACTTTTTGGAGGTTTTCTGTGGAAAGAAAAGTTTGGAAAGGCCTGCGCGAAAAGAAAAAAAATCAAAAAGTGTTTTATCAAATAAAAGAGCTTAGAGGAGACTTCTTTAAAAAAGATGAGCATCTAAAATACTTCTTTGGAGAGGTGTTTTACAACGAATACCCTTTGATATACCTTCTATGGAAAGAAGGTCCTAAAAGATTTTCTATGCATAATTTTAAAAAGATGAGCATTGAAAATATTTCTTGGAGAGGTGTTTTTTGCAACGAATATCCTTCTATAGAAGTTCTATCAAAACAAGTAAGCGTTTTCTATGAAAAGGAGACTTTCAATAGGTCTTCGTAAAAGGAGGAACTTCAAAATATTCTGCACAAAAAGGAGATTCTCAATAGGTTTTCTGTGAAGCAAAGAAAGAAAATCTTCAAAAGGTCTGCTATGGAACGAGAACTTCAAGAGTTCTATGAAAATAAGACTTTACATTAATTCTCTTAAAGGAAGGCCTACCGCAAAGAACTTGGAAATTCCTCTTGAGAAGAAAACCTCTGAAAGTAGGCCTTTAAAAAGTCTTCGATGAAGGGAAGAATTTAGAAAAGTTTTCTTTGAAATGTCTTCTTTCAAAGGAAGACCTTTTAACTAGTTCTGTTAAGGGAAGGCCTTCGGCAAAGGACTTCTGTAAAAAGACTTGAAAGAAACTTGTTCTTCTTGAGGAGAAAACCTCCGAAAGTAGGCCTATAAAAAGTCTTCTATGAAGAGAAGTCTTCGTAAGAACAGGACTTTCAATGGGTTTTCTATGAAAAGAAGATCTTTAAAGGGTCTCCTACAAAAATGATAATAATTTTGAAACGTCTTCTATGAAAGGAAGATCTCCAAAAGGTCTCCTATAAAAAATGCATTTGAAAGGTCTTTTGTAGAAGGAGTACTTCAAAACGTCTTCTAAGGAAAAAGATTCTGAAGGTTTTCTTTGAAATGATTTGTGAAGTGTCTTTCATAAAAAGGATACCTTTGATTTTTCTTCGTAGAAAGACTACCTTAGACAGTTCCTCTTAAGAAGATGGCCTTCGTAAAGTTTTCCATGAAATGGAGCTTTTTGCGAAAAGAAGATTTACAAAAGGTCTCCTATAAAAAGAAATTTTTATGAAAGGTTTTCTGAGAGAAGATTTTCGACAGGAAGGTCGGTCTTCTGTGAAAGAACGTTCTTCCAGAGGACCTCTATGTAAATAAGTGTAAAGATCTTTAATGAAGAGATTGGATTTCTTTTTTTTTTGGATTTCTATGTCCCTTGATGGGAATCTCGGACCCGTGATCAGGGATGCTCAATTTTTCAGGCATGTCTCTTCTTGTTTCCATGGTAGACTTACGTATGGTCACTTGAATTGTCAAAGTTTGCGACCATCTAGATATAATCATAAGGTTGATGAGTTGAAATGTCTGCTTGTTGGTAGTGATATTGATGTTTTTGCCTGTGACTGAGTCTTGGCTTAACCCTGCAGTTTCTTCGAGGTCGTTGATGGTTCCGGGGTACAAGGTTCTGCGTAATGAACGTGTTGGCCGCGTTGGTGGAGGTGTAATGCTATATGTACGTGATAATTTGTCATATAAGGTGGTTTACCGATCGGAGAATTATGGTGTGTGTGTGTGTGTGTGAATCTTTGTCTGCTGAGCACTTCCTGGGCGGCACTACAGTGCTCTTTACTGTCGTCTACTTACCACGTGGGGATGTAGACACATTTAGTCTTATCCATGAGGGTATTTTTGATTCATATGGGAACATTGTTGTCTGTGGCGACTTTAACTATAATTTGTTTAAACCATTGAATTCTTTATCAATGCGAAGACTGTGCAGATCTCTTGGGCTTGCTGTTGTACACAATTCCAGTCCGACTCACCTTGATGTTGCTCGTAGCACTACCTCATTAATTGACTTTTGCCTGGTCTCTGATGCCTTGACTGTAAATTTTTCCTCGCAGGGGCAGTGCGCCCTGGTATTTCCCACCATGCATTAATTTTTGGAGGGGTTGAACTCCCGTTCTTGCTGAAGAAAAGGTTTGTTGAGTTCCTAGATTTTCATAGGACTGACTGGCGGGGTGTGGAAGATCATCAGCGGTGTCACAGAAACCATGTCGGTTTTGCTTATTGTCGTCTTTTAAACCAATGATGGTTTCATTTGGTGTCATGAAACCAAGTTGGTTTTGTCAATTTCGAATGTAAATAAAACCAATGTTCGAAACAGCTGTTGTTGCTTACATGTTTATAGTCCTTTAAAAATTCTTTAAAAAATCCACGTTTATAGTTCTTTAAAAATTCTTTAAAAAATCCACGTTTATAGTCCTTTAAAAATTCTTTAAAAAATCCACGTTTATAGTCCTTTAAAAATTCTTTAAAAAATCCACGTTTATAGTCCTTTAAAAATTCTTTAAAAAATCCACGTTTATAGTCCTTTAAAAATTCTTTAAAAAATCCACGTTTATAGTCCTTTAAAAATTCTTTAAAAAATCCACGTTTATAGTCCTTTACAAATTCTTTAAAAAATCCACGTTTATAGTCCTTTAAAAATTCTTTAAAAAATCCACGTTTATAGTCCTTTAAAAATTCTTTAAAAAATCCACGTTTATAGTCCTTTAAAAATTCTTTAAAAAATCCACGTTTATAGTCCTTTAAAAATTCTTTAAAAAATCCACGTTTATAGTCCTTTAAAAATTCTTTAAAAAATCCACCTTTATAGTCCTTTAAAAATTCTTTAAAAAATCCACGTTTATAGTCCTTTAAAAATTCTTTAAAAAATCCACGTTTATAGTCCTTTAAAAATTCGTTAAAAAATCCACGTTTATAGTCCTTTAAAAATTCTTTAAAAAATCCACGTTTATAGTCCTTTAAAAATTCTTTAAAAAATCCACGTTTATAGTCCTTTCAAAATTCTTTAAAAAATCCACGTTTATAGTCCTTTAAAAATTCTTTAAAAAATCCACGTTTATAGTCCTTTAAAAATTCTTTAAAAAATCCACCTTTATAGTCCTTTAAAAATTCTTTAAAAAATCCACGTTTATAGTCCTTTAAAAATTCTTTAAAAAATCCACGTTTATAGTCCTTTAAAAATTCTTTAAAAAATCCACGTTTATAGTCCTTTAAAAATTCGTTAAAAAATCCACGTTTATAGTCCTTTAAAAATTCGTTAAAAAATCCACGTTTATAGTCCTTTAAAAATTCTTTAAAAAATCCACGTTTATAGTCCTTTCAAAATTCTTTAAAAAATCCACGTTTATAGTCCTTTAAAAATTCTTTAAAAAATCCACGTTTATAGTCCTTTAAAAATTCTTTAAAAAATCCACGTTTATAGTCCTTTAAAAATTCTTTAAAAAATCCACGTTTATAGTCCTTTAAAAATTCTTTAAAAAATCCACGTTTATAGTCCTTTAAAAATTCTTTAAAAAATCCTCGTTTATAGTCCTTTAAAAATTCTTTAAAAAATCCACGTTTATAGTCCTTTAAAAATTCTTTAAAAAATCCACGTTTATAGTCCTTTAAAAATTCTTTAAAAAATCCACGTTTATAGTCCTTTAAAAATTCCTTAAAAAATCCACGTTTATAGTCCTTTAAAAATTCTTTAAAAAATCCACGTTTATAGTCCTTTAAAAATTCTTTAAAAAATCCACGTTTATAGTCCTTTAAAAAATCCACGTTTATAGTCCTTTAAAAATTCTTTAAAAAATCCACGTTTATAGTCCTTTAAAAATTCTTTAAAAAATCCACGTTTATAGTCCTTTAAAAATTCTTTAAAAAATCCACGTTTATAGTCCTTTAAAAATTCTTTAAAAAATCCACGTTTATAGTCCTTTAAAAATTCTTTAAAAAATCCACGTTTATAGTCCTTTAAAAATTCTTTAAAAAATCCACGTTTATAGTCCTTTAAAATTCTTTAAAAAATCCACGTTTATAGTCCTTTAAAAATTCTTTAAAAAATCCACGTTTATAGTCCTTTAAAAATTCTTTAAAAAATCCACGTTTATAGTCCTTTAAAAATTCTTTAAAAAATCCACGTTTATAGTCCTTTAAAAATTCTTTAAAAAATCCACGTTTATAGTCCTTTAAAAATTCTTTAAAAAATCCACGTTTATAGTCCTTTAAAAATTCTTTAAAAAATC